GTGTTGTGGTACCTGAACTCGGCCTGGGCGCTGTCCCTCAGCTCTTCAGCTCAAGGCCAGCGCTCTACCACTTGAGCCACAGCACCACTTCCGGCTTTTTCTGCTTGTGTGGTGCTAAGGACTCGAACCCAGGGCTTCATGCATGCTAGGCAAGCACTCAGCACTGAGCCACATTCCCAGCCCTGTTGTTGACCCAGGGATAGCACCCAGGCCCTGAATTGCAGATACCCGGCCTTTTTTGCTTTTGTTACTTTTCCACGTTTGCCTGACTGTACTTGGACTCCAGTTCTGTTTTATTCTTCCTGTTTAGCTGGAAGGACAGGCTTGTATCACCACACCCATCTTTTCGTGGTTTGAGATGGGTTTTTTTTGTTTTGTTGGGTTTTTTTAGTTGGTTGCAGGACTTGAACTCTGGGCCTGAGCTCTGTCCCTCAGCTCTTGAGCTCAAAGTGAGTGCTCTACCGCTTGAGCCACAGCGCCACTTCTGGTTTTCTAGTGGTTTATTGGAGATAAGAGTCTCATGGACTTTCCTGCCCAGGCTGTCTATGCACCATGATCCTCAGATCTCAGCCTCCTGAGTAGCTAGGATGACAGGCGTGAGCCACCAGCGCCCGGCTGAGATGGGTTTTTTTGAACCCCTTCCCAACCTCAGTTTTGTTGTTATTGTCTTGAAAACTGGATAGTTGACTTTAGGTACTGGATGTCAGATTCTCTATTCTATTCCCAAAGTTTGCTATTTTTGTTTTGTTTGTCTTTGGGGTTTTTCTTTTTTAGGTGTAAATAGTGCAGAAGAGCTTAAATTCAGCGAGTCAGTTTGTGAGTGCCTTGCGTCTCGGTTAGTGTCTGTCCCCCGTCAGTGTGCTGTTTGTGTCTGTGGAAAGCTGCAGGTGGCCTTTGGGTCCTGGCCTTCGGCTGTGTAATCACTGAAGTTCTGTTCCTCTGCTTGTGTCTCATTTGGACAGATTTCCTTGAAAGCCAAGGGTTCTCCCAGTCTTAGCAAGTTGGCTCTGGGCCTGGGCCTGGACCCTTCTTCAGGTCCTGGTCAGTTTGCCCTTGGTCAAGGGTCAACCTAAGGGGAAGGCCTCTGAGCTTTCCCGGGTCTCCTCTGAGAACTAGGTTTGACTGGCAGTTTAAATGTTTCTGGGTAAATTGTTACTTTAAAATGTCCTAATTTCCACGAGGTCTTTCCATCTTTACCCAAGGCAGTCTATACAGACTGGGTACACTCTTCTGTTATAAGTATCTGAAGGTTATTACTTTGGCTTCAAGCTTTTTCTTGATAGCTGTGGGGATTGAACTCAAGGCCTACAGCTTCTCTTGCTCAAGGCTAGCGCTCTACCGCAGCTTGACTTCTGGTTTTCTGGTGATTCATTGCAATCTCATGACCTTTTCTGCCCAGGCTGGCTTTGAACCACGCTCCTCAGGTCTCAGCCTCCTGAGTAGCTAGGGTTATAGTCGTGAGCCACTGGTGCCCAGCAAATGATGATCCTTCTAGTTTCTTCTTTCCTCTTTTTCTTTTTAAGTGCTGGGGTTTGAACCTAGGGTCTTGACCATGCCCTACAAGGGCTTTCCCGGTGGCCCACACCGCCCTGAGCTTTGCTGATCATCTTCTAACGGCCACACTATTCTGGAATGTTCTAAGACAAGCCCGTGACGACACACTGGGGTGTGGGCTGGCGCTCTGGCCTCAGCCTCCCGAGGGCTGCGGCTGCAGGTGTGCGCCACCCTGGACACCTCACAGGCTCCGTGTGCTCTGCGTGCAGACCCAGGTGCATGCAGCACAGGAGTGCACTGGCTGCGACATTCTTCTGAGTTGTGATATGGTAGAAAAGAAAGAGCAAGACTGGGGTCATGGTTCACCTTGTGCCTACTTTGCCAGGTACACGGCCCGTAGTTCAAACGTAGTCACTTTAACAAAACAGGATGGAGGGGTTAGAGGTGGGGCTCCTTTGGCAGAGTCCTAGCTAATGAGTGGAAGTGGCTCTAGGTACCAAGTTGAAGTCCTAGTCTTGGACCTAGAAAAAGAAAAAAAGAGAAATGTGTAGCTGGATGCTGGTTGCTCATGCCTGCAATGGAGACCTGAGGACTGTGGCTCGAAGCCAACGTGGGAGGGAATATCTTGTGAGGCTCTAGTCTTCAGTTAACTGCCAGAAAAGCCAGAGTGGAGCTGTGTGGTTCAAGGGGTAGAGCACTCGCCTTGAGCAAGAGGCAGCTCAGGGACAGTGCCCAGGCCCGAGTTCAAGTGCCAAGGCTGGCACCTCAATAAAAAACCAAAAAACGATTGACAGTGCAGGCGAGACAGGAGCATTGTTGAAGTCCCCGGCGTATCACACCCGGGCGCATCACACCCGGGCGCTTCACACCCGGGCGCATCACACCCGGGCGCATCACACCCGGGCGCATCACACCCGGGCGTACCACACCCGGGCGCTTCACACCCGGGCGCATCACACCCGGGCGCTTCACACCCGGGCATATCACACCCGGGCGCACCACACCCGGGCGCTTCACACCCGGGCGCATCACACCCGGGTGCATCACACCCCGGCGTATCACACCCGGGCGCATCACACCCGGGCGCATCACACCCCGGCGTATCACACCCGGGCGCATCACACCCGGGCGCATCACACCCGGGCGCATCACACCCCGGCGTATCACACCCGGGCGCATCACACCCGGGCGCATCACACCCGGGCGCATCACACCCGGGCGCATCACACCCCGGCGTATCACACCCGGGCGCATCACACCCCGGCGTATCACACCCGGGCGCATCACACCCGGGCGCATCACACCCGGGCGCATCACACCCGGGCGTATCACACCCGGGCGCACCACACCCGGGCGCATCACACCCGGGCGCTTCACACCCGGGCGCATCACACCCGGGCGTATCACACCTGGGCGTATCACACCTGGGCGCATCACACCCGGGCATATCACACCTGGGCGTATCACACCCGGGCATATCACACCTGGGCGTATCACACCCGGGCGCATCACACCCGGGCATATCACACCTGGGCGTATCACACCCGGGCATATCACACCTGGGCGCATCACACCCGGGCGCATCACACCCGGGCATATCACACCTGGGCGTATCACACCTGGGCTCGTGGAGTGGAGAGGCTTTCTCTGTTCGTGTGCCTTGGGCTGAGGAAACAGCGGTACATCTTCCGTGTGGTCTTTGTGCATGCACTGGCTGCCCTGAGTATTTGGATGGTGCCTTGGGGTTTTTGTTTTTGTTTTTGTTTTTTGTTTTTGTTTTGGATCCGGTCGTGGGGCCTGAACTCTGGGCCTGGGCGCTGTCCCTCAGCTCTTCAGCTCAAGACTAGCGCTCTACCACTTGAGCCACAGCACCACTTCCGGTTTTTTCTGCTTATGTGGTGCCGAGGAATCGAACCCAGGGCCTCATGCATGCGAGGCAAGCGCTCTGCCACTGAGCCACCTTCCCAGCCCTGCGGTGCCTTGTTTTTGAGGCTGCTAAGTGTCTGTGCAAACTTTCCTGGGGGTGTTGCACCTGCATCTGTGTTTCTTCCCAGCTCCATGGTGTGTCTGCTCTTTGTGGGGAGAGGGGCTCATCTTCTGGTGTGGGAAGGATGGGTAAGGATTAAAAGCTGTGCTGAGGAGTGGAGCCGACAGTGGTAGAGTTCTGAGAGACGCGGCTTGCAGAGTTAGGGCTCTGGGCGACTAATGACTTAAAATTTTAAATGTGATCATCTGCATTACAAATTGAGAGTTGTATGGCAGATATGACACTCTAAGAAAATGTATAGGGTCTGGGAATGGGAAGGTGGCTCAGTGGTAGAGCGCTTACCTTGTATGCATGAGGCCCTGGGTTCGAGTCCTCAGCACCACATAAGCAGAAAAGGCCAGAAGTGGCGCTGTGGCTCAAGTGGTAGCGCACTGGCCTTGAGCTGAAGAGCTGAGGGACAGCGCCCAGGCCCCACAACCAGCAAAAAAAAGAAAAAGAAAACCTATCAAAGGTTTTATGCTTAGCGTGCAGCCTAGTTGCACTGCACCCTCTCGTCTCTCCCTGGAAGTGAGAAGGATGCCCTTGGAATCCATGTGCAGACCAAAAAGGGGGCGGGGACAGGGTGGAAGGGGTCTCAGAGTGGGCACGCCAGCGGGGGGGGGGGGGGGGGGGCCCTGGCTGGTTGTTCTTTCTTTATTACAGTCCTACTTCTATAGGATGCACACCAAGTAGTGTTCAAGTCATTTACGATTTAGTAAACACACAAGCACATAGGCACGTCGGTGCACACATACACAGTACTCCTTTTTGAAGGGAGTGGTGCTGTTGGTGGGTGCACGGCCTCGCCCGAGCAGGGCACGCACTGTGCCGTTGAACGCAGCCCTGGTCCCCAGCCTCGCACACACCTGCCTGCTCACCAAAGGAGTCATAAAGATTAAGTGGCAGTTGAGTTGAGTCCTGTACCTGCTTTTCTACTTGGCTGGTCTGACCAGTGCGTTTGTGTAAGAGTGCGTCTGTCCCTTACTCCTTCCCTTTTCTTTTTGTACGGGCACTAAGGTGCTAGAGTTTGCTCTCAGCCTGCACTGGCGGAGCGGGTGTTCTACCACGTTAGGCCCTCTGCCAGTCCCTTCTGCACTAGTTTTCTTCAATATAGGGTCTGACTTTGTACTAGCCAGCCCATGCTTCTGCTTGTGCTTGCTTTAGTCAGTGGGGTGACAGGTGGTGACACAGCCTAGTCACTGTGTTTTCTCCATAGCTTAGGATGATCTACCACTTGCAGACATTGAGTGAGATAGTCTTGCAAACTTTTATGCATAGGCTGTTTTCAGACCACCGTTTGCCCATTTCCACCTCCCAGACATGACAGACTTGGGCACTGCTCCTGTCCTGACAAGTGTCTTTGAGTCACTTGTGATTTTGCTCCCTAAATGGCTGAGCGCTCTGGGATGGCAGGGTTTTGGATGGGGGTGTGTGTGTGGTGGGCAGCAGACAGTGCTGACCGTCAGTGTTTCTTTTTCAGATGCACATTCAGGTTTCCGAGCACAAACATCAAGATCACGTTCACAGCTCTGTCCAGTGAGAAGAGGGAGAAGCAAGAGGCGCCGGTGTCTCCAGTGAAGCCCGTGCAGCCACACATCTCACCCCTGACCATCAGCATTCCAGACACCATGGCCCACCTCATCAGCCCCCTCCCCTCCCCAACGGGAACCATCAGGTACAGCGGCTGAGCCCAGCTCCCAGCGTGACAGCCCCGTCCCGGGCTTCTGACCCAGAGAGGGAGACGCTCACATTTCTAAAAAGCTGCCTTCGGCTTCTATATTGTGAAAGTTTTTGTTTGTCCTGTGCCACGTAGCTAGGCTGTCCTTGAATTTCCCAGCCTTCGAGCGCTGTGATTACAAGGATTTGCCACTCCGCCTGGCTGTGCTCTTGGTTTACGTACACATTCTTTTTAGTAGAGACTTAGTTTTGTAGCGCTAGTGAAACATTTGAGATTTGAATTTGTATGTTTTAGTGTGTTGACTACAGTTTCATAAAGAATTCTGAAAACTTGTCCTTTAAATTTGGCCACACTGAAGTGATCAACTCCTGTTGATCATAGAGAGACTTAGACTTCCTCCGAGCTCCTCAGGAAGCACAGAACAAGCTCCAGGCACAGTCTCCTGCCTCTGGCGGTTCACTGCGGGCAATAGGGAGACGATGGCTGAGCTTCTGGAAGGAATGGGGCTTGAGTGCAGGCCGAGTTGGGGTGCTATGCTCTACTGGCTCTTTTTTATTTTGGGGGGGGGGTCCGGTCATGGGGCCTGAACTCTGGGCCTGGGCGCTGTCCCTCAGCTCTTCAGCTCAAGGCTAGCGCTCTAACACTTGAGCCACAGCACCACTTCTGGCTTTTTTCTTTTTGCTTATGTGGTGCTGAGGAATCGAACCCAGGACCTCATGCGTGGGAGGCAAGCGCTCTACCACTGAGCCATCTTCCCAGCCCTTCTTTGTGCTTATTTCTGGCTTGGGCTGTTTTATGGTGCTGAGGGCGGAGGGCGTGCTGGGCAAGCATTCTGCTACTGTTTTGGCTTGCGTCTTTATGTGTTTCCCCCCATCTCATTGAGTGTGGTTATAGACACTGCTCCTTTGTGAGATCCATGGATGGTATTTTTTTTTTTTTTTTTTTTTTGTCGGTCATGGGGCTTGAACTCTGGGCCTGGGCGCTGTCCCTCAGCTCTTCAGCTCAAGGCTAGCGCTCTACCACTTGAGCTACAACGCCACTTCCGGTTTTCTGGTGGTTTATTGGAGATAGGAGTCTCACAGTCTCTCCTGCCCGGGCTGGCTTTGAACCGCGATCCTCAGATCTCAGCCTCCTGAGTAGCTAGGATTACAGGCATGAGCCACCAGCGCCCGGCTCCATGGATGGTATTTTTGTTTCCCACGTGTATGGTAGTACTGCTTGATTACCCTGGAGCACCCGGTGATGAGCATGAGTTTGAAATTCTTCAGGATTAACAGCTGCCATACACAGTGCAGCTCCTTCTGCATGCCCTCCATAGCAGCCCCCAGTTCCCAGGTCTCCCCTCCATAGCAGCAGCGCCCAGTTCCCAGGTCTCCCTTCCATACTAGCAGCAGCGCCCAGTTCCCAGGTCTCCACCTGGGATAGCTGCCGTGGTCCTCGCTGTGGCTGATGGATAGTAGGCTCATTGTGCTATTACTACAGATTTGATTGCTGAAGATCCTGTGTTACTGACCATATCTTGTATGGCCTCTATTTTTGTTTGTTGTTGAGCTGTTTGTTGCCTTTTGCTTGTGGGTTTATGGGTGTTATGGGCATTGCTATTTTTTTTTTGGGGGGGGGGGTTCAGTTGTGGGGCCTGAACTCTGGGCCTGGGCGCTGTCCCTCAGCTCTTCAGCTCAAGGCTAGCGCTCTACCACTTGAGCCACAACACCGCTTCCGGCTTTTTTCTTTTTGCTTATGTGGTGCTGAGGAATCGAACCCAGGCCCTCAGGCATGCAAGGCAAGCGCTCTACCACTGAGCCACCTTCCCAGCCCTGCTGGCTCTTGAGGGGTGAGGCCTGGGAGCATCTTGTGGGTGGGGTGTCGTAGGCCCTGCTGTCTGGGTCTGTGCTGGTGTCAGGGAGGGCTCTTCTTGGTGCCCTCTGCCCCTCCCCTCTGGTCTCTACCCCACAAGATAGCCCGTCGTACTTCCCTTTGATTCTTTTTCTCCTTGTTGTAGTTTCTGTTGATTGTGTATAAAGGAGTTTCGTCGTTGAGTTCAGAAGTGCAGGTATTGCCATTCATCAAGCTACCTTGTCTGTCGCTTTCTAGTTTATTCTCCCCCTTACTCAGTGAGGCTCCTCATATTATCTTTGTATGTAGACCACCATGTATTTTTTTATTTTTTATTAAGTAGCTGTACAAAGAGGTTTCAGTTCTACAAGTTGGGTTATGAGTACATCTTTTTTAGTTGCTGTTGGTTGTGGGGCTTGAACTCGGCGTAGATGCTATTCCTGAGCTCTTTTGCTCAAGGCTAGCGCTCTACCACTTTGAACCAAAACTCCACTTCTGGTTTGGGGGCAGTTCATTGGAGATAGGTCTCATGGGGACTTTTATGCCTGGGCTGGCTTTGAACCACTATCCTCACATCTCAGCCTCCTGAGTAGCTAGGATTGCAGGCGTGAGCCACCAGTGCCCGGCTGACAATACATCTTGATAAGAGTCATCCTTCTAGTGTTCTCCCCATTTCCCCTCCCATCCCTACTCTCAAGTTTGTCATGAGGCTTGACTCAGGGCCTGAGTGCTGTCCCAACCCTCCAGCTCTTGAGCCACAGCTACTTCCAGTTTTCAGGTGGTTCATGAAGCTAGGAATCTCGTGGACTTTGCTGCCTGGGCTGGCTTTGAATGGGGATTTCAGGCGTGAGCCATCAGGGCCCGGCAGACGTGTTGGGGTTTTCATTTTGGCTTTTTGTTTTGCAGGGGTTGGGGAGTAACTTTTCCCCCAGTTTGAAGCATTGTCTTTCTTGTGTGCGTCTGGTGGGGGCTGCCCTCGGTGCTGCAGGACCTCCCCTCCGGCGGGGTGCCCCTGGGGAGGAGTTAGCTCCTGGGCTGGGGTGTCCTGGAAGACGGTGGCTCTGCTGGTTGGGCCCTGCACCTGGATGCTCAGCTCCTGTAGGCCCTGCTCTGGCACTGGCAAGAGCAGCAGTCGGCGCTGAAGTTGCACTGGTCTGTCAGGAGGAAGTTCCGACAGGGCCGCCTGCTTGCTCATCCTGCAAGGTGGCAGCGGCATCCTGCAACAGTCTTTCTAGGAAGGAGCGTCTCAGTGGTGACAGAAGTATCTCTCCTCCAAGGCCACCTGTGCCTGGTGCAGCGGCTGACCCCGCCGGCCTGCTGCCTCCCAGCCGCGCTTCTTCATAGCACACTGTGCACTGGGATTTGTAACCCTTCCTCCTGTCTCCTCTTCTGGCACTGGGGATTGAACCCAGGAGGTTGACCTTACTAGGCAGTGCTTTGCCACTGAGCTGTGTCCCAGCTCTTGGAGTTCTTACATAATGTACGTTGACTATAATGACTGCATTTGCCCACCCTAACCCTGCCTTCCACTCACGTCCCTTCCCTTTCCTCCTTCCCCCAAAAGATGTTTCTACTTCCTGGTACTCATTCAATGAACTGCACATTAGTTGTGGACTCCTCCTCCCCTATGTATACCCTCCTTTACTCAGTCTCTTTGTGGGTACATGCATGGAGTCCTGTGTGTGTTACTACCATGGGTGGTAGTCTTTGATATGTAGCTTCCACATATGAGAAAAAACATATGTTCTTTGTCTCTCTGAACTTACATCAGTTCCCATGATTGTTTTTGGCCCATCCATCCCCTGCAGGTGACACAAGATTATTTCTACTGGATGGATAAAATCCCTTGGTGTATATGCACCACATTTTGTTGACCCACTCGCTGGTGTTAGGGCATCTGGGCTGCGTTCATAACTCGTCTGCCGTGAGCAGCATGGCGTGCAAGTGTCCTTCCCATCTCCTGATTTCTGATGCTCAGGGTGGATGCCATAGGGAGGGTCTTGGTTTAGTGTCTGAGGAGCCTCCAAACTGCTGTCCAGAGCAGTTGTGGTCCACACTCCCACCCGCAGTGCAGTAGGCTTCCTTTTCCCCACATCCTCGCCAACATTGGTGGTGTTCCAGTTCTCCATGCTGGCCAGTCTAACTGGAGTGAGACGCAATCTCAGTGTTGGGTGTGTGTGTGTGTGTGAATGTAGGGTGTATGTGCATGCATGCTCAAGCCTAGTGCTCTACCACTTGAGCCACAGTTCTACTCTGGCTTTTAGGCAGTTAATGGGAGATAAGAGTCTCCTTGGCTTTCCCCTCCAGAATGTCCTTAAACTAAGATCCTTGGGCCTCAGCCTCCCAAGGAGATAGATTACCGGTGTGAGCCGCTGGCACCCTACTTCAATTTTGTCTAGATTTACATTTCCCTTATGGCCAGCGATGTTGAGCGTTTCCTCACATGTTTATTGGGTTATTCTTACTTCTTCTTAGAAGTCTCTATTTAGCCGGGCGCTGGTGGCTCACGCCTGTAATCCTAGCTACTCAGGAGGCTGAGATCTGAGGATCTCGGTTCAAAGCCAGCCCGGGCAGGAGAGACCGTGAGACTCCGATCGCCAATAAACCAACAGAAAACCGGAAGTGGCGCTGTAGCTCAAGTCGTAGAGCACTCACCTTGAGCTGAAGAGCTGAGGGACAGCGCCCAGGCCCAGAGTTCAAGCCCCACGGCCGACCAAAAAAAAAAAAAAAAAAGAAGTCTCTATTTAGTTCCTTTGCCCACTTCTTAATTGGGTATTAATTTGGAGGGAAGGTTAGTTTCTTGAGCTTCTTGTAATATTCTGGATATTAGGCCCTTGTCAGATGTATAGGTGGTTTAAAAAAAAACAAAAAACCCTCCCAATTTGTAGGTTCTCTTTTTAGTAACTGTGTCCCTTACTGATGCAGCCCCATTTGTCAAACCTCTTGAATTTGCTAAGCCACTGGAACTCTTATTCAGAAAATTCCTGCCTGTGCCAATAAGTTCTGATGTTTCTCCTCTTTCTGTAGTAGTTGGAAGATTGGAGTCTTTGATCCATTTGGAGTTGATTTTAATGTGAGGTGACAGGAATCCAGTTTTTAGGGCTGGGAAGATGGCTCAGTGGTAGAGCGCTTGCCTTGCATGCTTGAGGCCCTGGGTTCGATTGCTCAGCACCACATAAGCAGAAAAGAAAAAAGCCGGAAGTGGCACTGTGGCTCAAGTGGTAGAGCACTAGCCTTGAGCTGAAGAGCTGAGGGACAGCGCCCAGGTCCAGAATACAGGCCCCACGACCAGACCCAAAAAAAAAAAAAAAGAATCTCACAGACTGTTTGCCCAGGCTACTGTCAGACTGTGATTATCAGTTTTCAGCCTCCTGAGTAGCTACAATTACAGGCATGAATCATTGGCACCCAGCCTGTTATGTATTTTGATTATTTATCTTCCCCCCCCACCCCCCCATATTTTTTTTGGCCCTTTCTCCCTTACCCTTCATTCCTCCAAACAGTCCAGAGTTGTATTAGTGTGCATGCATGTGTTTTATATGGGTACATGTATGTGTATGTGTGCTCAGGGCCTTGTGCTCTTTTTTGGCAAAGCTTGGTGCTGGTGGTCACACTGTAGTCTTAGATAATCAGGAGGTTGAGATCAAAGCCAACCCCAGACAGAAATGCTCATGAAACTTTTTTTTTTTTTTTTTGCCAGTCCTGGAGCTTGAACTCAGGGCCTGGGTGCTGTCCCTGAGCTACTTTTTGCTCAAGGCTAGCACTCTACCACTTGAGCCACAGTGCCACTTCTGGCTTTTTCTGTTTATGCATTACTGAGGAGTTGAACCTAGGACTTTATGCATGCTAGGCAAGCACTCTACCACTAAACTATATTCCCAGCCCTCATGGAACGCTTATCTCCACTTACCCAGCAAAAAGCTGGAAAAGAAACTGTAGCTGAAGTAGAAGAGTGTCAGGTCCTGAGTTCAAGCCTCAGTACCAGCACAAGAAGGTGGAGGTTGGGAGCGCTTCTGAGGCTGGAACAACGGCTCCTATCCTTGCTCCCTAGGAAGATTAAAGTTTGCGGCCAGCTCAAGCACTAGCCAAACGCAGCAGTCATCCTAGTTATGTAGGAAATGTAAGCAGGAGGGTCACATCCAGGGTGGCCTAGCAAAAATGTGAGATCCTACTCCCAAAATCATGTAAGCAAAAGCACCAGAAATGGGAGTCGAGTGATGGAGCTCTAAAGCACTGGATTCAAATCCCAAGACTGTCTCTCCTTCACACCACCAAAAAAACAAAGAGGAATAGGCCTTCTGAGGCTGCGCGTGGTAGTTTATACTTGTAATTCCATCACGCAAGAAAGCAGAAGAGAGAGAATGGGGAAATTGAGGCCAGCCTGAGCTACCTAGCACAATCTTCTCCAAAAAACCCAAGATCTGCTTGATAGAACACTTGCTTAGCATATACAAGGCTCTAGGTTTGGCCCCATCCCAGGACCAAAAGAAAGCAAGAGCAGACAATTAGGGGGGAAAACAATGGAGAAGCTGGAAGTGGCGCTGTGGCTCAAGCTGAAGAGCTGAGGGACAGCGCCCAGGCCCAGAGTTCAAGCCCCACAACCATCAAAACAAACAAACAAAAAAACGGAGAAGCTTCTTGGACATTAAAAAGACATAAGCAAACACTCCTCCACCTCATCCTGTCTTGAAGTAGAAGACTTAATCTCCCCAAAGCGCTCTGTAGACTTAGTGTAACCCCCATCAAAATTCCAGTGTATTTGGAATCTCATGGACTCCCAGTAGTCAGAACTGCTTTGGTGGGTGCACACCTGTAACCCTAGCACTTAGGAAGCAGGGTCAGCCAGCCTGGGCTGTGTAGTGAGATCCTGTCTCAGAAGGTCCAGAAACAAAGCTTGAGAAATAGGGAAAGGTGGCAGATTAAAGACAGCTGCCTTCGCTGGGCACTGGTGGCTCACGCCTGTAATCCTAGCTACTCAGGAGGCTGAGATCTGAGGGTTGCGGTTCAAAGCCAGCCCGGGCTGGAGAGACCGTGAGACTCCTATCTCCAATAAACCACCAGAAAACCGGAAGTGGCGCTGTAGCTCAAGTGGTAGAGCGCTCGCCTTGAGCTGAAGAGCTGAGGGACAGCACCCAGGCCCAGAGTTCAAGCCCCACGACCTACCAAAAAAAGAAAAAAAAAAAAAGACAGCTGCCTTCTTACCCCATGGCAGAGAAGATGATGCAACAGAGAAGGGATTGGATGCTGGAGAGAGAAAGCGAAGACAACCTCAACCACAGAAAAGGCGGAGAGAGGTCAGAACACCACGGAGAGACCAGCCCACCAAGACAAGAGCAGCAAGTGAACCAGGCAGAGCTCACCACGATTCTGTCTCACCTGGCCTCACCCAGAACCATGATCTCCAAGAACGTCAGCAGATGCTGGTGAGGATGTGAAGGGAAAGGTGTAAACTGGTACAGGCACTGGACGCTGGTGTGGCGGTTCCCCAACCGGAAGAACCGGACCTGCCGGAGGAGTCTAAACCAGCATCCAAGAGGTACTGCTGCATAACAGCATTCCCTGTGCCACGCAGTGGAATCAGCTGAGATGCCCAACAGCCGATGAGTGGACAAGGAACATATGGTACTTGTAAACCATGGAATATTGCTTAGCCATAGAGAAGGATGAAATCATGTCATTTTCAGGAGAGTGGATAAACCCGTGGGTCATTATATTGAGTGACATAAGCCAAGCTCATAGAGCCAAATACAACATGTTTTCACTCATTTGCAGAACCTAGCCTTCATAAAGACACGCAAAATACACCTATGTGTGCACTCGCGTGCACGCACACACACTCATGGACCTTGATTCTAATTATGGACTGTTTGGAGGAATGAGGCAGGAGAAGAAGAAAAGAGAATGGTGGAAAGTGAGTTCTATTGAAATACGTTGCATCTGTGTAAAACCTCAAAGTTGGAGTCCAGAATTTACTAGAAAGCAAGAGTAAGCATGGCAGTGGCCGATGGGATATAATAGAGCCCAGAAGTAGCCCTCTTATAGGAACAGGTGGCTTCGGATGTGATGTCAGGATCCTTCAGTGGGGGAAGAACCCTGTTTTAAGTAGGCCTTGCTGGGAACATGGGTCAATCTTGTGCAAGAGGGTATAAAGATGGTTCTTGTCTCCTATAGTTCAAATGCACCATAACCTATTTGGAACACCCAAAACTTAGAATAGACGCAGGCAGAAGCTTCATACATTGACTTGACAGTGATTTCTTGGGTTGGCACCAAGCCATCAAACAACAAAAGGAAAAAGGCTGATTAAATTTTGTGCACATTAAAACGAGGCAATGGAAAGCCGGGCGCTGGTGGCTCACGCCTATCATCCTAGCTACTCAGGAGGCTGAGATCTGAGGATCGCGGTTCAAAGCCAACCCGGGCAGGAGAGACCGTGAGACTCCGATCGCCAATAAACCACCAGAAAACCGGAAGTGGCGCTGTAGCTCAAGTGGTAGAGCGCTCGCCTTGAGCTGAAGAGCTGAGGGACAGCGCCCAGGCCCAGAGTTCAGGCCCCACGACTGACAAAAAAAAAAAAACGAGACAATGGAAACAGTCAAAAGGCAACCAGGCTGTGGGGGCTGGGGGATCTGTCGATAATGTATGAGGAATTCTTGGCTATACCAGGTATTGAACCCAGGGCCTCACACTTGGCAGACAAGTTCTGAACTCACAGCCCTATAGCTTTTACTCTTCTTCCTCCTCCTCTCTCTCTCTCTTTCTTTTTCTTTCCTTCTTTCTTTCCTTCCTTTTCCTTCTTCTGCTTCTCCTTCTCCTTCTCTTTGTTCTCCTCCTCCTCCTCCTCCTCCTTTCTTTTTTTCCCTGTCCTGGGGCTTTAACTCAGGGCCTAGACACTGTCCCTTAGCCTCTGTGTGCTCAAGGCTTGCACTCTACGTAGCACTTGAGCCTCAGTGCCACTTCCAGCCTTTTCTGAATTTATTCGAAATAATAGTCTCATGGTCTTAACTGCCCAAGCTGGCTTTGAACCTCAATCCTCAGAACTCAGCCTCCTGAGAAGCTAGGATTCAGGTGTGAGCCATCAGTGCCTGGCTTTACTTTTTTTTTTTTTTTTTGGTCCATCATGGGGCTTGAACTCTTCAGTTCACTACCCAAAAGCTGTAAGTGGAGCTGTGGCTTAAGCACCAGATTTGAACAACAAAGCTCAGTGACAGCACCCTAGGCCCTGAGTTCAAGCCTCAGGACTGGTACCCAAAATAAAAAAAGTCATAGTACAATGTATGTTTCACAGTAGGCTAAAGGAGTGACCTTTTCTTCTTCCCCAGTGCTGCGAACTCCTGCCCATCCAGCCCCCGGGGAGCAGGGTCTTCAGGGTACAAAATGGGCCGTGTGATACCATCTGACCTCAATTTAATAGCTGACAGCTCACAGCCAGAAAATGAAAAGGAAGCTTCAGGTGGAGACAGTCCAAAGGTAAAATGTTCTGTCGTCTTCAGTGGCCGTGGTGTGTGTGCATGTGTGGGTGTGTGATGGTGAGCCAGAGCCTTGGAAAGGGTCGTACCCTCCTGTATCAGCACGTGGCCTCCTGGTGTTTTTGCTGGGGAATTCTTGTTGGGATTTTGTAAATCCATTCTTTTTTGACTTCAGCTTTTAGTGGTGCTGAGGTTTGAACTTAACATTGTGCTTGCGATCAGGTGCTCTCTCTCTCTTGAGCTGGACTCCGGCGCCCCCTTCTCTAAGTGCTGAAGGGGAGGTGCGGAGGGCTGCAGGCACAAGTCAGGTAATGAGTGCCTTTCTTTCGGGTCAGTGTCACTCCCCCCGCCTGCCACGTGTGTTCTCTCCCGTCCCCATCGGTTTAGTCACTTTCCGCATGAGTCTCATTTTTCCTGGATTGCCCTAGACTGAGAGCCTCCTATTTAGGCTTTCCACACAGCTGAGATGATAGGCGGAAGTCATCACACTCAACATTTTTTTTTTTTAACGGTCCCGGGGCTTAAACTCAGGGCTGGGCGCTGTCCCCGAGCCTCTTCTGCTTAAGGCTAGCACTCTACCACTTAGCCACAACACCACTTCTGGCTTTTCCCAAGTAGTTTATTGGAGATGAGAGTCTTGTGGAGTTTCCTACCCAGACTGGCTTTGAATTGTGATCCTCAAATCTCAGCCTCCCGAGTAACACAGATTACAGGTGTGAGCCAACGGCACCCTGCCCTGTGTTGATTTTTTTTTTTCCCCCATCGGCCATGGGACTTGAACTCTGGGCCTGGGTGCTGTCCCTCAGCTCTTCAGCTCAAGGAGAATACTCTACCACTTGAGCCACAGCTCCACTTCCAATTTTCTGGTAGTTTATTGGAGATAAGAGTTGTACAGGGCTGGGAAGGTGGCTCAGTGGTAGAGTGCTTGCCTTGAATGCATGAGGTTCGATTCCTCAGCACCACATAAGCAGAAAAAGCCAGAAGTGGCACTGTGGCTCCAGGGGTAGAGCACTAGCCTTGAGCTGAAGAGCTGAGAGACAGTGCCCAGGCCCAGAGTTCAGGCCCCATGACTGCCAGGCCCAGAGTTCAGGCCCCATGACTGGCAAAAAAAAAAGAGAGAGAGAGAAAGAGAGAGAGTTGTACAGACTTTCCTGCCTGGTCTGGTTTTGAACTGCAATCCTCAGATCTCAGCCTCCTCTGAGTAGCTAGGATGACAGGCGTGAGCCACTGGTGCCTGGCCTATGTCAAATCTTTTAAGAAATGTGTTGGAAAAGAAGGAGGCAAAACTTTGGCACTTGAGCACAGTGACCGGTGCTCCGTCTGGGGCCGGCACGAGAGTTGCGGTGCTGTGGAGCTAGGCCGCGGTTCACGTCGTACTGTTTGGGTGTTTGGGTTTTCTTAGGTAATCTCTAATGGCGTTTTATTTTAAAAAATTACACTGTATTTTAAAGTTATTCACCCTTCATCCCTCCATCTTTCTTTATATCTTTTTCCCCCATTCTTCCAAGTTTTCAAAATTGTATTCCTTTGTAATAAAACACATTTTTAGAGAATATATAAAACATACGATTATGCTAACTTTTTTTAATACAGGATGATTCAAAGCCACCTTACTCCTATGCACAGTTGATAGTCCAAGCAATTACCATGGCTCCTGATAAACAGCTCACTCTCAATGGAATCTATACACACATCACTAAAAACTACCCCTACTACAGGACCGCGGACAAGGGCTGGCAGGTAAGTCAGTGCTTCTGGGTCTTGCAGATGCTGCTCAGTGTCTGGTGATGAGGCTGTTGGCTTTGCTAACTCAGGTGAGGTTTGGAAGCAAGCCGAGTGAGAGGAAGCGGCTGTGCTGCGACAGAGGTGTGCGGCCTCGCAGAGCCGAGGCACGGGGTTCTGAGGGAAGTGTCGAGGACCCCTGCGTCTCTGGTGTGGGGGACGGCCGCGTGGCACCCGTGCAGCCCACTCCTAATGCAGGACACGTGAACACTCTGGGGCCTTCTTTTCTTCTCTGTTTGTTTGCCTTCCTCATCTGCTTCACGAAATAGAGAAGCTTTGATGTTTTGCAAAGGCACTTTTCAAACTCTGTACCAGAGTTGTCTGTACCCTATTTTCAAGACATCTTCATTTGGCTGGCTACAAAACGTGGTGTGGGCAGTTTAAGTTGGGAGCCCACCATCTCCAGAGGTGGCGCCATGTCCCAAGGCGGTAGAATGAGCATGATGAGGTCCTGAGTAGAAGCTCCACTTCTGGCTTCTTGCTAGTTGATTGGTGGTAAGACCCTTAGGTTTGTCTGTCCGGGCAGGCTTCGAACTAGAATCCTCAGACCTCAGCCTCCTGAATAGCTAGGATGGCAGGTGTGAGCCACCAGCACCTGGATGAAAATGAGAATTTCTGAGGAGCTCGAGTAGACTTTCATGTGTCTGATTGTGTTTCCATGTGTTTTCCTGAGCAGTACAGGGTTTTATTGCTGAGGTGAAGGATGGGGCTGGCGGTGGCCTCCGTCTCTTGGGGCCTGAGCCAGAGCCTCTTGGGATTGTGGTCGCTGGGCAGGAAACCTGGGCCACAGTCGTCCGGGACCTGGTCCTGAGTGCATGCAGGTTTCCCACAGGCTACTACAGTCACTTCACAGGCACCTAAGGCAGGGGTTACCCATGTGCTGCAGATCCAGCACTGTTCTGTTGAGCAGGTGGCCCCCGTGTCTAGCTCCAGGTCTCCTGACCTGAGCTGCCCTCCTGGCCCCGGTGTGGATGAGAGCCTCTGTGCCGAGCCCTTTCCTGCATTTGTGGCAGGCACTGAACTAAGCGCCTCATGAGCTCTCCCCTCCCCCTACAGCGCTGACACCAGGGTCTGCATCAAACCATACTCTGACTTCACTTCCCTGGACTACATCAGAAACCCATTTTGCAGTATGGGTGCACATGTTCACATTTCTGTGTGCATGTGTGTGACAGAGACAGAGACAAGACCTTGCTCTGTAGGGCCAGACTTGTCTCCAACTTTTGATCATCCTTCTGCCTTTGCTTTCTAAATTCTGAGATTACAGTTGTGCACGATGTCCTGTGCAATGTTTTCTTTTGTGGGGGTGAGAAGCACAGTACTGAGCTTTGATCACAAGGCTTCATACTTGCTGGACGGCACATTACTGCCCACACCCCAGACACAGCCCCCCACCCCAGCAACAGACAGGGTCTCATGATTTGGCCAGAACTGGCCTCAGACCACTATCTTTATACTATGCCTCCCATGCCCCGGGATGATGTATATACACCACCACCTTTAGCTTATTGTTCAGAGGCCCTGACTGGCCTCAAACCATAGTCCTCATCGCTGGCGACTTTGTTTTACTTTCTTTTGAAAGTAAAGCAAGCGCTCTCAACAGAGCAGTGCACCAAGGAAGTGGGCTGTGTTCTCCCCCGCACAGTGGCCCATGGACGCCCCGTGGGGTGCGCCAGTGCAGGCCCAGCTGGTCCCACAGAGGTGCAGGCCAGTAATTCCCCCACTCCCTCTCGTCTCCAGCTCTGAGGGACCATGACTATTTCTCTTCTTTTTTCTTTTTTTTCTTTTCCTTTTTTTTTGCCAGTCCTGGGCTTGAATTCAGGACCTGGGCACTATCCCTGAGCCTGTCTGTGCTCAAGGCTGGTGCTCTACCACTTGAACCACAGCGCCACTTCTGGCTTTTTCTGTGTATGTGGTGCTGAGGAATCGAACAGGGCTCTAAATCTTTCTTTCTTTCTTTCCTTCCTTCCTTCTTTCTTTTTCTTTTTTTTTTTTTTCGTGAAAATACTGTACAGAAGGGTTACAATTACATGGGCAAGATAATAAGTGCATTTCTTATCAAGCTTTGTAGCCTCCTTTGTTTCCCCTTCCCATCCTTCCCCCACCCCCACCCCCACCCAATCCTACTCCTCCCCTCCCCCTCCCCCCCCCCCCCCCCCCCCCCACCAAAGTTGTAAGACTAGTTCTTAATCTAAGAATTTCACAGGGTCTGCTCATGGAATAATGTTTGGGTTAATTTGCAGGGGAAGTTCCTAGGTAAATGAGCTGGTCTGAGCAATTATGTATAAAGATGGGATATCTCTTTCTTCTTTTGTTGCTGCATTTTCAGACAGACAGACATCAGCTGCTAGAGAAGTGAAAAGCTCATGCACAGAAGTGATACACCCTACTTCCCTGTTCCCACCTAGAGGCGCCCCCTTTCTCTTCCAGGGAGCATGTGGGCCAGCCAGTTTCTCTATGGGCTCCGGAGCCCTGAGGGGAGGGACCCCCCCAGCCTGGGGCCGGGCAGCTGTGGGGTTTTTTTGCTTATGTGGTGCTGAGGAATGGAACCCAGGACCTCACGCATGCAAGGCAAGTGCTCTACCACTGAGCCACCTTCCCAGCCCCTATATTTGACATTTTAAAGTACTTTAATCTTTGAGTCAAATTGATATTTGAAAAAGCCTATTATCATAGTTCAAGAGTAGACACCTAATAATTAGATAAATCTGATAAATTAGATAAATAACTTGATAAATTTGGTCTGTTGTAGGGCTTGAACTCAGGGCCTGGGAGCTGCCCCGAGCTCTTTTGCTGAAGACTAGTACTCTACTACTTCCCAGTTTTGTGGTGATTAACTGGAGATGAGAGTCTTGTGAGCTGGCACTGGTGGCTCATGCCTGTAATCCTAGCTACTCAGGAGGCTGAAGTCTGAGGATTGCAAGTTCAAAGCCTGCCCTGGCAGGAAAGTCCATGAGACTCTTTTCTCCAATAGACTACCGAAAACCAGAAGTGGAGCTATGGACTCACAGTGGTAGATAGAGCACTAACCTTGAGGAGAAGAGCTCAGGGACAGTATCCATGCCGAGTTCAAGCCCCACAACCGACAAGAAAAAAATCTCAGACTTTCCTATTCTGGCTGGCTCTAACCACCATCCTCAGATCTCAGCCTCTTGAACAGCTAGGATTGTGTGAGCCACCAGTGTTTGACTGGAGACCAGTATTTTTAATTTTTTAATTTAATTTTAATTTTTTGCCAGTCCTGGGGCTTGAACTCAGGGCCTGGCACTGTCCCTGAGCTTCTTTTGCTCGGGGCTAGCAGCTCTATCCACAGCACCACTTTAGACCTTTTCTGTGTCTGTGGTACTGAGGAATTGGGCCCAGGGCTTCATGCATGCTAGGCAAGCGCTCTACCACTAAGCCACATTCCCAGCCCTGGAGACCAGTATTTTTATTTATTTATTTATTTATTTTTTTGTCGGTCATGGGGCTTGAACTCTGAGCCTGGGCGCTGTCCCTCAGCTCTTCAGCTCAAGGTGAGCGCTCTACCACTTGAGCTACAGCGCCACTTCCGGTTTTCTGGTGGTTTATTGGAGATAGGAGTCTCACGGTCTCTCCTGCCCAGGCTGGCTTTGAACCGCGATCCTCAGATCTCAGCCTCCTGAGTAGCTAGGATTACAGGCGTGAGCCACCAGCGCCCGACTCAGTATTTTTATTGTGTAAGTTATTAGGATACTAGAGAACAAATAGTATTTCCAGAAGGAAGGAAAATATATATTTAGAGAAAGTTTTTATCAGAAGAGAACAAGAATATACAACCCTCTACAGTAGCTGATTTGCAGCCATGATTCAGAAACACTGCATAAAGCCTGATGATGGTTTGGTATTATTAGTATTCAAAATGCAATTCTACTGAGTTTGACATTTATATTTAAAGCAAAGGTTAAAAAGATGTTCACTCAACTTTGACAATACATTCCTATTTTCAAAGCATATATTAACTAGTAATTGGCTATTAGTTTTATAGGAAAGACAGCCAGGAAAGTTAAATCAATGACCTATGGTTTAGTATTTTGACAAGCAGTTTAAAAATCTGATGATTTCACATATTCTTCTCAAAGTCAAATGCTATGTGATTGTTCTGTTGTATGTTTGTATAAAGTGAATCAGAAAGTAAGAAAAAGGTTAGCATTATTAAAATAATAGCCCAATTGAAACATTCCATTTATACTGTTCATAATGCTTTCAAAGGACATAAAACTCTGTGGAGTATCTGCACATCACTTTGGACTAAATCAATTTTTTTTTGGTCGGTCATGGGGCTTGAACTCTGGGCCTGGGCGCTGTCCCTGCGCTCTTCAGCTCAAGGCGAGCGCTCTAGCGCTTGAGCTACAGCGCCACTTCCGGTTTTCTAGTGGTTTATTGGAGATAAGTCTCACGGGGTTTCCTGCCCGGGCTGGCTTTGAACCGAGATTCTCAGATCTCAGCCTCCTGAGTAGCTAGGATTACAGGCGTGAGCCACCAACGCTGGGCTGACATTCCTTAATGTTTCTCATATACAGCTTATACATGCGTGCATGTGTGTGCTGATCCTGAGGTTTAAACCTGGGACCTGGGTACCATCCCTGAGCTTCTTTGCTTAAGACTAGGCTCTTGAGCCATGGCTCCATTTCCAGCTTTTTGCTGGTTAATTGGAGGTAAGGGTCTCATGGACTTTGCTGCCTGGCTGGCTCTGAACCCCAACCCACAGGTCTCAGCCTCCTGAGTATCTAGGATCACAGGTGTGAGCCACTGGAGCCAGGCAATAGTGTAGAGGTTTTTTTTAGCATGCTGGGCTTTGACTGCAGCCTGACTTTTGTGGGCAATGTGTGGCCTCCATTGTGGTATCATGTGGAACATCAAGCTTTGGGTTCTAGAGGACTTTGGAGTTTTGAATCTCCCTTTCCCTCCATACCCGAATAATCTGTGTGGCCAAAGTGCATCTTCTCCACCTTTGGGGACCAAGAGCAGTCATGTTTATGTATTATTGGTTATTGGAGCGTCTCAAGTCGCAATGGGTATTCTTGTTGATAAATAAGTCCCCAAGTTGGACAGCAGCCAGGCCCATCCTCTGGGTCCCCATGATGTAACTCAGGTCCACCGGCCACAGAGACTGCTGCCAGCCCAGCCCTCAGCCCCAGCCCCCAACCCCAGCCCAGCCCTCAGCCTCAGCCCCCAGCCCCCAACCCAGCCCTCAGCCCCCAGCCCCAGCCCCCAGCCTAAGCCCCAGCACCCGGCCCCAGCCCCCGGCCCCAGCCCCCCGGCCCCAGCCCCCAGCCCCCAGCCCCAGCCCCCAACCCCAGCCCCCGGCCCCAGCCCCAGCCCCCAACCCCCAGCCCCAGCCCCCGGCCCCAGCCCCAGCCCCCCAGCCCCAGCCCCAGCCCCCGGCCCCGGCCCCAGCCCCCAGCTCCCGGCCCCAGCCCCAGCCCCCGGCCCCCGGCCCCAGCCCCCAGCCCCCCAGCCCCCGGCCCCAGCCCCCAGCCCCAGCCCCCAACCCCAGCCCCAGCCCCCAACCCCAGCCCCCAACCCCAGCCCCGGCCCTCAGCCCCAGCCCCCGGCCCCCAGCCCCCAGCCCTCAGCCCCACCCCCTGGCCCCCAGCCCCCAGCCCCCAGCCCCAGCCCCGGCCCCCAGCCCCCAGCCCTCAGCCCCACCCCCTGGCCCCCGGCCCCAGCCCCCGGCCCCGGCCCCCAGCAGTGGCTTGTCCGCACTGGGACAGCCCAGGCTGCTCTGTAAAGCAGTCTGACTCTGTATTTGACTTCCTTGCTGCCTTTGACAGTTCAGGATTTCAGGACATGGCTGGCAGGTCTACATGAAGGCCGGTTACAGCTGGTTATCGGTGGCTCATTGCCTGTAGGCTGCTATTCAGGACCTGGCCTACAGGATCACTGAGGCCAGTCCAGGCAAGACCTTTGTGAGACGCCACTCAGCCAACCACTGGGCATGGTGGCAGGTGTGCAAACAGGAGGATGGAGGTTCAGGCTCATGAGACCCTGAGTTACTTCAGCAAGAAAGAGATGAAGCAGAAACCCCAGATCAAACTCTAGTACTGCAAAATAAGTAAGTAAGTGATAGTGTATGGCCTAGCCTGGAAAACCTGGAGTGGACTTTCCAAGTAGACTATTGGAGTGGGAGTTGAAATTGACTCTCTGCTTCACATTTTGGAGCGGTGAGGATCAAATAAGGAACTAAATAAATGTACTTTACACGCAGACCAGAGCATCTGTTACTGGCACCGGTCGCAGCTCTTAGCCTTCGCTATCTACTTCGTGCTCGCTGCTCGCTCTCTCGGTGCTGGTTCTGGGTTCTGCTGTGTAGCAGTCCGGCCTGGCCTCTTGCCCTGTCACTCAGTGCTGGGCATACAGGTGTGCACCACTGCCCCTTTCCTCTCCAGGGTGGAGCTCTGGGCAGCTGGGTCTCGGTCTCCACCTGGCAAGGTTGATGAGGGCAGGCCATCTTAGGCACCTTGTTTTCTGGTTGAGAAAGGAGATGGAGGTTGGAAATGACATTTTCTGTGTTGTGCAGATTTATTACTTCCTCTCTCTCTCTTTCTCTCTCACACACACACCTGTACGCATGCACGCACGCACGAGCCTACCTGCTGTGGGATTCACTCGAGCTGGCTGCCAGCTGAAGGCGTAAAACCCAAGAGCCTGTCCTGCGCTCCCCAGTGTTCACCAAGGAGCACCGGCCTCAGTCCTGCAGACACTGAGGTTTCTGCTTTTCAGAGCCCTAAAATGGGCACATTGTGACTTCTCAGCCAAGCCTTACATGAATTCTGTGTGTTTCATGTCCCATAGAATTCCATCCGCCACAATCTGTCCCTGAACCGCTACTTCATCAAAGTGCCGAGATCCCAGGAAGAGCCGGGCAAGGGCTCCTTCTGGAGGATAGACCCTGCCTCCGAGAGCAAGCTGGTGGAGCAGGCCTTCCGGAAGCGGCGGCCCCGGGGCGTGCCCTGCTTCAGAACCCCTCTGGGGCCTCTGTCCTCTCGGTAAGCAGGCCCCGTGGCCGGTGAGCACCAGTTCCTACCAGAAACCAAGGACCCCAGTACCCTTTGGTGAATGTTGGTGATTCGGAAAATGATGTCGTGGCTACTTCGTGCCTGCCGATTCCTTTACTGTAGCCCTTGACTGCTGAGACGGCACATGAGCCGTTCTTCAGGGCTTCCTTTTTGCTGCTTAAACTCAAGATCGTTTTTAATGTGCCTGATTTCTAAAAACCGTATCACCGATACTCTGCTTTTCCCAAAAGAGGACCTGGGCTTGGCATTGACCCCAGGCCCCCGCCAGCTCGCGCTCTGCAGATTCCTGCAGGCCTGGGGCTGAGTGTGAGGCCCAGCCTACGGGCCGATTGGTCATATCCGGGACGCTCCAGCTGTGGGCCCAGGACAAGGGACACTGACACTTGCTGGGGCGAGTGCGTCACTGTAAAACCCACTGTCTTCTTTTGGTGGCCCAGGAGTGCACCGGCCTCCCCCAACCACGCAGGAGTGCTGTCTGCTCATTCCAGTGGCGCCCAGACCCCCGAGAGCCTGTCCAGGGAAGGCTCGCCGGCCCCCCTGGAGCCTGAGCCGAGTGGCACACAGCCCAAACTCGCAGTCATCCAGGAGGCACGGTTCGCCCAGAGCGCACCAGGTAAGATGCAGCAGGAGAGGCAGCGGGGCTGGGGCCGGGGCCGGGGCCCCAGTGCACAGCCCCGTCCCACACCTGCTGCGTGGTGCACGGTGCCAAGGGAGCTGCCCGAGACTTTGGAGAACCAGTAGGAACACGAATGTGCTATTTCATAACCGCAAAGAAGGAGTCCATTTAATGAATAGACAGACCTTTGCAGTTTATTTACAAACCCAGTGGCTCACACCTGTCATCCTAGCTACTCAGGAGGCTGAGACCCGAGGGTCACGGTTTGAAACCAGCCTAGGCAGGAAAGTCCATGAGGCTCTCTTCTCCAATTAACCACGAGAAGCCAGTAGAACTGCTAGCCTTGAGCAAAAAAAGCTCAGGGAAGATGTCCAAAACGAAGTTCGAGCCACAGGACTGGCATCAAAAAAACAAAACAAAAAACTTTTACCCTGGAGGTTTTTTTTTTTTTTTTTTTTGGTCTGGTTGTGGGGCCTGAACTCTGGGCCTGGGCGCTGTCCCTCAGCTCTGCAGCTCAAGGCGAGCACTCTACCACTTGAGCCACAGCACCACTTCCAGCTTTTTTCTTTTTGCTTATGTGGTGCTGAAGAATGGAACCCAGGGCCTCATGCATGCAAGGCAAACGCTCTACCACTGAGCCACCTTCCCAGCCCTACCCTGGAGACTGTTTGTAGTGTTACTGTGAAGGTGTGTGTGGGGAGCGGCATGAAGTTGGGCAGAGCTGTGTCTCCCCTCCCCCCCCAGTCCTTCCCTCCCGTCTCCACCCACAGTTGCACAGCTCCTCTTCCAGTGTCTACTGAGCGCCACTGTGCATTTGTTCACCCTTTGTCTCTCCATTTTTGTGTTCCCTTCACCTTCCCAAAGACCTGTAGATGAACAAACGAGACAAAAGTAAAAGAAAACAAGTCGCAAAAGAAAAATACCTCATCTCCATTTCCTGGAGTTCATCTTGATAAGTATTAAGGTATTATTGTGCATCATCAGACGCCATAGACCTTGGGCTTTTATGTTTCTCTCCAAAGAGTGTCCTTTGATCTCTGTGTGATCTATCATGTCCCCATGGGTTTTACATCTAGTTCCCGTGGATGAAAGAAACTATGAGCCATTTGTCTCTCTGAGCTTGGCTTTCCTCACTTGACAAGATTTTTTGCTAAATCCATTTCCAGAGGATTTTTAAAATATAATTTTATTGTTATTAAGGATTTGTAAGCTGGATGCCAGTGCCTCACGCCTGTACTCCTAGCTACTCAGGAGGCTGAGATCTGAGGATTGCAGTTTGAAGTCAGTCTGGGTAGAAAAGTCCCAGTGAGACTCTTTCTCTCCAAGTGGCACTGTGGCTCTAAGTGGTCGAGCGCTCGCCTTGAGCAGAAGAGCTCAGGGACAGCGCCCAGGCCCCACAACGAGCAACAACAAAAAGCTAGAGGAGCCAAAAGAGAGTGTGAGAGCGTGCGTGCGTGTGTGTGTGTGTGTGTGTGTGCGTGCGTGCGTGCGTGTGTGTGCGTGCGTGCGTGTGTGCGTGTGCGTGTGTGTGTGAGATGAATGAGTCCCAGGCCAGATAGCCTGGTATCACTGAGCATCGGTGGTTCCTTGGAATTCTGGAGGGTGTGTGTGTGTGTGTGAGATGAATGAGTCCCAGGCCAGATAGTCTGGTATCACTGAGCATCGGTGGTTACTTGGAACTCTGGTGTGCGTGCGTGCGTGTGTGATGAATGTGTCCCAGGCCAGATAGCCTGGTATCACTGAGCATCGGTGGTTACTTGGAACTCTGGAGGGTGTGTGTGTGTGTGTGTGTGAGATGAATGTGTCCCAGGCCAGATAGTCTGGTATCACTGAGCATCGGTGGTTCCTTGGAACTCTGGAGGGTGTGTGTGTGTGTGTGAGATGAATGAGTCCCAGGCCAGATAGCCTGGTATCACTGAGCATCGGTGGTTACTTGGAACTCTGGAGGGTGTGTGTGTGTGTGTGAGATGAATGTGTCCCAAGCCAGATAGTCTGGTATCACTGAGCATCGGTGGTTCCTTGGAACTCTGGTGTGCGTGCGTGCGTGTGTGTGCATGTGTGTGTGTGTGTGTGTGTGTGTGATGAATGTGTCCCAGGCCAGATAGTCTGGTATCACTGAGCATCGGTGGTTCCTTGGAACTCTGGAGGGTGTGTGTGTGTGTGTGAGATGAATGAGTCCCAGGCCAGATAGTCTGGTATCACTGAGCATCGGTGGTTCCTTGGAACTCTGGAGGGTGTGTGTGTGTGAGATGAATGAGTCCCAGGCCCGATAGTCTGGTATCACTGGGCATCGGTGGGTCCTTGGAACTCTGGAGGGTGTGTGTGTGTGAGATGAATGAGTCCCAGGCCCGATAGTCTGGTATCACTGGGCATCGGTGGGTCCTTGGAACTCTGGAGGGTGTGTGTGTGTTTGTGAGATGAATGAGTCCCAGGCCCGATAGTCTGGTATCACTGAGCATCGGTGGTTCCTTGGAACTCTGGTGTGCGTGCGTGTGTGCGTGCGTGCGTGTGTGTGTGTGTGTGTGTGTGTGATGAATGAGTCCCAGGCCCGATAGTCTGGTGTCACTGGGCATTGGTGGTCCCTTGGAACTCTGGAGGGTGTGTGTGTGTGTGTGATGAATGAGTCCCAGGCCCGATAGTCTGGTGTCACTGGGCATCGGTGGTCCCTTGGAACTCTGGTGCCTCCCAGGCCTCCCACGCGTTGCTGGGAGCCTGTGTTGCTGCCGTCCTACAGCCAAAGGGCAGAGGCCTCATGATGACTACCACTCCTGTCATGGTTGTCTTTAGTAGTTTACGAAGGGTTTCCAGTCGCCCTGTCTGTGGACGTGCACAGGGTGTCTTGGTCGATGTCCCCGGCCCTTTGCTCCCTCCCAGCCCGCTGGGCTGATGTCTCTGTGTCTTTAGTCGAAGCCTCAAGCTACCAAGGACGGGGTGTTGGGACAGCCACAGATGGCTGCGTGCGGGGTTCCCTTCCACTAGACGTGGGCCTTGTGTGGACATCTCGTGAGGAGGGAGCCCTGGGAGGGCGCTGTGTTCATAGAGACGAGGTGTAGGGATTAATAACTTGAGATACTAACCTTTCTCTTAGCATTCGTCACCATAAGGCAAAACAGGGCCCCGTCCTAAGGTTCCCAGCCGGCCTCCCTGGTCAGGCTTGGTGTGGGGAAGGAGGGGATGCACGCCTCAGCCCTTCCCCGCCTCTCCTGCCAGGCTCACCTCTTTCCAGTCAGCCCGTCTTAATCACCGTCCAGCGGCAGCTGCCCCCGGCCATGAAGCCCGTCGCCTACGCCGTCGCCGCCCCAGTGACCACCTCCGCCTCACAGCCGCCCGTGGTGCAAACCGTCCACCTCGTCCACCAGATACCAGCCGTGTCGGTCGCCAGCGTGGCCGCGCTGGCCCCGGCAAACACCTACACCGTCGCTGGCCAGGCCGTGGTCACCCAGGCGGCAGTCCTGGCCCCTCCGAAGGCAGAGCCGCAAGAGAATGGCGACCACAGAGAGGTCAGAGGTGAGCGAGGCGGAGGCGGCAGCTGCCGCCAGGCCCTGCTCTGTGTCGGGTGGTGGGGGGGGGTCTTTTTAGGGTACTCTCTTGCTTCGTTGCTGGGGATGGGACCGTCCAGACGCTGCACATTCTAGGACTCCAGTCTTTATCTCCAGTCTTCTATGTCGACTGGTCTGAGACATTCTACAGCCAGTCTTAAAACCAGGCAGTACTTTTTGTTGTCGGTTGTGGGGCTTGAACTCAGGGCCTGGGCGCCGTCCCCGAGGTTTTTTGTCCGAGGCTTGGGCTCTATGACTTGGAGCCGCAGCGCCACTTCCAGTGGTCTGGCACTTGGTTGGCGGTGAGTCTCACGGGCTTTCCTGGCCCGGCTGGCTCCACGCCATGATCCTTAGTCTCTAGGATGGCAGGCAGGAGCCGTTTGCCCCCGGCTCAGGTGATGGTCTTGTTGTTTTACCGAGTGAGGTCTATCGGCTTTCCTCTAACCCTAGTGGTGCTGTCTCTCTTGGGTTTCAGTGAAGGTAGAGCCTGTTCCCGCAGTTGGCCACGCCGCGCTGGGCGCCACTGGCCGGATCCTCCAGGCGTCGCCAGGCCCCCCCATGCAGACGGTCACCATTGTGCAGCAAGCGTCTATGGGCCAGCACCAGCTCCCGATCAAGACGGTCACGCAGAACGGGACCCACGCGGTGCCCATCCCCCCCGCCGTGCACAGCCAGGCGAACAGCGGTAAGGACTCTGCCTTGCTGAGCGCCCGGCCAGAGCTGCTCCTGGCCCCCTGGGGGGGGGGCATGTCCCTGAGCCTCGTGTTCAACACTAGTGCTCTACCACATGAGCCACACAGCTCCACCTTGGGCTTTTGGGGTTAATCAGAGATAAGTGTCTCACAGGTTTTTCTGCCTAGGCTAGTATCAAATTGTGATCCTCAGATCTCAGCCTCCTGAGTGGCTAGGATTACAGGTGTGGATGGCTTTGTGTTTCTAAGTTGCAGGCTGAGGGACTGGAAGAGAGTTGGCAGCCAGAGCTCCCGTTAGACTAGCACACATCTGGGAAGGCCAGGGCTCCCGTTAGACTAGCACACACTATCTGGAAAGAGAAGAGGTGAGCGCAGACGCATCTTTGGTGGGTGGTGAACAGCCCTTTGTCTGATGGCCCTGCCAGCCCAGGCAGGAAAGTCCGTGACTCTTAATTCCAATAAACAACTCAGAAAAAGTCAGAAGTGGTGCAGTGGCTCAAGTGGTAGAGCGCTAGGCCTTGAGCACAGAGAAGCCAAGGGACAGTTCAAGCCCCAGGTCCAGTCCTGGTGGGCTGCAGAGCCCGCTGGGTTGAGCAGTGGTGGCGGTGCTGGCGGGCATACCCCCAAGCGGCCGCGTTTTAGTGTGTGCCACCGTGTCTACCTGCATTTCGTTGCCTGCCCTGCATGTCTCCTTTCTCTAGCTAGGACGCGAGGTACAGCGGGGAGTGCTGAGGGCCCTGTCTCGGGGCACACGCCTCTGTGGGTGGCGACCGATCCATTTCCTCCATTCACAGAAGGTGCTGACTTTTGCCAACTCGGATGATGGCTGGTTTGTCTTCCCTTTAATGTAGCTGTGATGAGGTCCTTCACCAGGGCCAGGTACGCGCACCTTCTGGGCAGGACCCGCCGGTCACGCAGATAGGCTGCTCGGTGTGCTGTGACGGTGCCTTGCGTGTGTCCTTGAGGCTTTGGTCTGTGTTTTCTCAGTCTGGCTGGCTGTGGGCTTGCTTGACAGTGGCCTCGTGGAACGAGCCAGGAGTGTTCCTTCCTCTTTGGGGGAGATGTGGAGGACTAGCGGCCGCGCTTGAACGGTGCGCTGAGCATGGGGCGTGGAGCCTCTGCTCTGTTCTCCAGTTCTGCAGAACCAACGCCAACCCATGGACCTGGGTAGACTCGCCACAGACAGCCAGCCGGTCTTGGACTAGTTTCTGGTTAGGTATTCCATCCCTCGTGTTTTCGCCGGTCAGTCTTGTGAGATGAGGTCTTGCGCTGTAGGAGCCCGGCAGCCACAGCCCACAGGGCCACGCCCGCCGTCTCCACCTCCGCCCTTTGCTTGGCAGCGCTGATCTCTGCTGTTTCTTGCAGCTGTTTAAAATCTGCCAGATGAGCCTACAGGCTCTTCCCCCTTGTGCTGCATTTTGGGGAGTTTGCAACTTGTCTTTACCTGGGCGCCCCTGGTTGCTGGGTGTCAGAAAGGAGCCTGGGAGGGCGGCGGCCTGTGCACCACCCCCGAGGGCTGGCCAGGCCAGCTCTGACTGCAGCCCACCGGCTGCCTCCGTGGCCCGACACATGTAGCCTCCGACCCTGATTCCAGCCGGGCGCATCCTGCTGACTAGCAACATGGGTCCCCACCTCCCTCCCCTCCTCCCCCGCACCTGTGCCCGGTGCCCGGGCGTCCATACCCGTACCGTGCCCGCTGCCCGGGCATCCACACCCATGCCTGTGCCCGCTGCCAGGGCGTCCACACCCGTGCCTGTGCCCGCTGCCAGGGCATCCACACGCATGCCCGCTGCCAGGGCATCCACACCCGTGCCTGTGCCCGCTGCCAGGACATCCACACCCGTGCCCGCTGCCCAGGCATCCACACCCATGCCCGCTGCCCAGGCATCCACACCCGTGCCCGCTGCCCAGGCATCCACACCCATGCCTGTGCCCGCTGCCAGGGCATCCACACCCGTGCCCGCTGCCCAGGCATCCACACCCATGCCTGTGCCCGCTGCCAGGGCATCCACACCCGTGCCCGCTGCCCAGGCATCCACACCCATGCCTGTGCCCACTGCCAGGGCGTCCACACCCGTGCCTGTGCCCGCTGCCAGGGCGTCCACACCCGTGCCCGCTGCCCAGGCATCCACACCCATGCCTGTGCCCACTGCCAGGGCGTCCACACCCGTGCCCGCTGCCCGCTGCCAGGGCGTCCACACCCATACCTGTGCCCGCTGCCAGGGCGTCCACACCCATACCTGTGCCCGCTGCCAGGGCATCCACACCCGTGCCTGTGCCCGCTGCCAGGGCATCCACACCCATGCCTGTGCCCGCTGCCAGGGCATCCACACCCGTGCCTGTGCCCGCTGCCAGGGCATCCACACCCGTGCCTGTGCCCGCTGCCAGGGCGTCCACAGGAGTGTGGCGCCCAGGAGCTCCATTCTGCTGCAGCCGGGCGCCCTGCCCCCCGGCACTGAGCTGGCTTGTGGCTCTGAGGGTGGCAGGGCCGAAGCCCCGCTGTGGGTATATGCTGGTCAGTCCTGCATGGGGTTCTGACCTGCTGCCTCTCCTCCGCAGCTGCCAGCCCCCTGCACATGCTGGCCACCCACGCCTCTGCGTCGGCCTCCCTGCCCACCAAGCGCCAAAATGGCGACGAGGCAGAGCAGCCGGAGCTGAAGCGGATCAAGGCCGAGGACGGGGAGCGCATCGTCATCGCCCTGAGCGTCGACGCCCCTCCGGTGGCTGTGCGGGAGAAGGGGCTCCAGAACTAGCACCTAGCACTGCTCACGGGACGTCAACTCTGGTGCCAAGAGGAGAGAGCGGCGCCGCCCGTGCAAAGGGCCCTGCGGTTGGACTTCACTTCCCAGCACTGAAAACACAAACCCAGGTGGCCTTAAAACTCCCTTCCATAGACCAAGTCACACGGGAGCCAGTGCGCAGCGGTCCCCGGCTCGAGCTGGTGTTCCCGCAGAGCGCTTGCTGGGCCGCCGCTTGTGAGCTCAGCTTTTCAGGACGCACAAGGACCGGCCTTTGGGCCTGAGCCTCCCGTGGGATGGGGGCCGGCCAGCGCCTGAGGGAGCGGATCTTGCAGACTGGGCTCTCCAAGGGATGGGCCGGAGCCAGCCACCCCCTCCCGGAGACAAGACAGTGTTTTGTTGTTCACGTGGAATTAGAATCTTTTGAGGTGTACTTTCTTTACACAGTAATGGGGGTCTTTGACATTTCACACCACTCCATTTCTACTCGGGAAATTTTGGAATTACAGAACCTTTCACGTGGGTTAATTTGGGGACAGCAGCGACGCCGTTCTGTTTGTTTCTGTGGTTTGTTTCAGCTGGTGGGGATGGCCTGCTCTGTCTGTTCTGTGCTCCTCCGGGACACCTGCACGTTCCTGATGAGTCCCTCCCCATGTCAGAACGGGGGCAGCAAGCGCGGGTGACCAGGACACACCCCGCCCTGCCGCCCGCCTCCTCGTTCCTGTGCGTTGACTGTCCCTGGTATCATTTCCTAAAGCAGTCTCCCAAGTGTTGTGTACACCCAAAATAACAGACCCTCCCTTCCTTCCTTCCTTCCCCTTCCTTCCTTCCTTCCGTCCTTCCTTGGAAAACAGATCGAGTATGTACCCTTTCAAACCAAGATCACAGATCTCGATCTCCACCTCGTCTGACAAGTCAGGAGCCCATGCTGTGTGTGGCCGGGATGCAGGGCCTGCGGCTCCTGTGAGCACCCCCCAGACTGGGCTCTGGTCCCGGGGCACCCTGCCCTCCGAACCTGCCTCCACGGAGCCTCCCTTCTCTCCTTAAGTCCTGAGACCCAGAGGGAAGGAGACGGGCGGGACAGTCTAGCTGGGCGGGCAGGGCAGACAGAGGCTGTAGCCTTGTTCTTTAATGTCATCATCATAACATTATTTATTTAAATGTAGTTATTTTGGTATTTAATTTTTTTTAAAGAGAGGGGGAAGAAACCCTGTATTTTCCTGGTGGAATGAAATGGCTCAGAATGGTATATTTAGGCAATTTTAAAACATTATTTACATAAAGACCAAATACAAGTCTGTTCTAGTATTGCGTGTCGCGTCACGGTATGGAGCTGTCTTGTTACTGCAGATGATGCGTATTAAAATTATGAATTACTGCACACTAGATGGATTTTATAACTCAGTCACTTGACAAATAAAGTGAGAAATCATGAGTGAGACCGTGTGTCCGCTGAAGTCTGCCTTCAGACCAGAGCCACTGTCGGGCACAGGCTGCGGTCTGCTTCCCGCACGTCCCAGCACCTTGGGGTGTGTTTAACCCTTACGAGTCCTGTGTGCCGTGCGCGTCTGCCAAAGATGGGCTGCTCCAGGACGCGGGTGGCGCTTTCCTGCATAGCATGGCCGCCGGCCACTAACGGCAGACTGGGGCTCTGGAGTTGTCGTCTGTTAACTAACACTCGGTGTGAGAGGCGAGGACGGCTGCCTCCCGGTGGCGCTCTCAGTCTCGGGCCGCCCTCACGGCACGGCATCCACACCCGTCCCCTCAGTGCTGTGCCAGAGGACAGGAAGCCAGCTCTGTGCCCAGGTGGTCTCCGGGTTTTCAGGCCCTGCGTGGGAACTCGGAGTCAGTCCTGCCCCAGATGGGTCTCGCTCTTGTCCTGGGCAGGTGGGCAGCCCAACGTCAGTGGGTCACACTCAAGGTGGTCCTGAGCTCCTTCCAGAACCAGAACCTTAATCAGCAGCCAGCCCCAAACACCAGCACAAAGGGAAGCGCTGCCTGTGTCCCCAGACACAAGGCGGGCGCCTGACAGGGCAGCGGGCCGCAGCCCACCCCACGTCCTCGGCCAGCTCCTCCACGGCCAGGGTCAGGCCGAGGCTGTGGCCACCAGCATGGGGGCTTTCTGTGGGGCGTGGCGAGGGACAGCTTCCCTGTTCTAGACAGATGGTGGCCTGTGTGCAAAGATTGGAAATTTTTTTAAGTACCAAGTTCCTGAAATGTAATAAAGTATTTTTTATTCATTTTAATGGAATAGAGTATCGTCATTTTGGTGAACTTCTGCTTTTCTTCTTGGCCTGTGCCCTTCTGAGCACGCAGAGCCTTACCCGCAGTCTGGCTTGCTGGACTGGGGCAGCAGCAGGTACCCCTGCCCGCCCAGTGACGCGGAAATTTTAACAGGTTTTCTGCTATTTCTTCTGTATACTTGATCCAGCCGAAGGGTCAAAACACTACAGACAGAACAGCTTCCGAAGCGATACTTGGGTGTTGAGGTTCAAACGGCCCACGTCCTGTTTGCTGTGCACGAGGCTGGGCCAGCATGGGCCTGCGGAGCGAAGTTGGCACCAAGAACTCCCCACTTCCCCCTTGAGTTCACTGGATTCAAGTAGAATGGACAAGGCAGAGGGCCGTCCTCGAAGATGAGCTGATGTGGCACAGGCTTCCGGGCGGACCATCAAGGGCACTGGAAAAAGGTCTCGGCACCTAGAGCTCTGCTGGTGGGGAGGGGGAAGCCCTCCCTGTCCACAGCCTCTAGACAACAGCATGGTGAGTGCAGGGGGCAGCTTTGGGAGAGAAACTACAGCATATGACTGCTTAGATGTCACCACACTGAGAGCTAGCTCCCAGTGGGTTTCTGTGGGCACCAGCCATCTTGCTGCATTCGTATCCACAGAACACAGCTGGGATTTAGGGTGTGTGTGTGCGCGCGCGCACACCTGTGGTCACCAACCTGCAGAAGTCCAGGGGCCACTCTGGTTACAAGCATCTGTTGACAGACTGAAGCTACTGTCCTGCCCTATGACACTGCCCAGGGCCGTGGGCGCTGTACCACTGCCCACAGGTGGCCTCCTGGAGATGAGGGTGAATGTGGCCTTCCAGAAGCACTTCCTTACATTGGTGGTGCCCTGGGGAAGCAGCTCCCACGGCATGGGCCAGGCCACTGTGGCACCCAGTTTTTTTTTTCCCTTCAACTCTGGCCCCAACCTGGGCTCTTGTTAGCCAACAGCGAAGAGTTCCTGGGGGATAGAGGAGAGATACCCAAAGCTGTAGCAACCCCCAGATTACCAAGCCACCAGGTGAAGCTGACGGAGTACTGCTTGTAGCAGGGCTGTGCAGCTCTGAAACAGGCTGGGTAAAGCCTTCATGAGAGGGCTGTAACCAGCATGTACCACAAAGGTGTGCAGTGTGAATAGCCAGAATCCCTGTCCTCCATGGGGAGAACAGACCAGAGACCACTGTGGCTTTGTTCCAAAGCTGAAGCACCAGAGAAACGTTCGTTAGACCTGTGCTCATGACGCAAGGCACGTGTTCTCAGAGTGACGCAAAAGTTCCAGCACTTAAAGGCACTTGGCAGCAACAGTAAAGTGTTAACTATGTATGCCACTGGCTCCCAGCAGAGGAAGTTGGTATAAAAATGATTTAGGGGCCAGACATGGTGGCACATAGAGTGGCGCAGAGCTGTGATACAATCCAGGGCAGGACTGTTAAGTTCAAAGCCAGTTAACGCTACATTGTGAGATCCTGTCTCAAAACATTTTTCATTGCTATTGTACATGCTTTATTTTGTCAGTGTATTTTTAAACGTTTAGATATACAGAGGAGTAGCTATTCAACAGACCAGTTTGTGAATACAGTGCTTAAACACTTCAGCCAGGTGCTGTGGCGCCTGCCTGTCATCCTAGCTACTTAGGAGACTGAGATCTGAGGATCACGGTTCAAAGCCAGCCCCGGCAGGAAAGTCCATGGGACAACTAGCTCCAACAAACCACCAGGAAACCAGAAGTGGCGCTGTGGCTTGAAGTGATAGCGCGCTCGCCCTGAGCACAACCTCAGGGACAGCGCCCAGGCCCTGAGTCTAGCTCCAACAAGCCACCAGGAAACCAGAAGTGGCGCTGTGGCTTGAAGTGATAGCGCGCTCGCCCTGAGCACAACCTCAGGGACAGCGCCCAGGCCCCGACCCCTCACCCCCCTCCCAGCGTGGAGCCTTCATTTCAGGTCTGTACCCTTTAAAAGAACACAGCCTTGCCAGTGCTCAAGAATCAGATGTGAGGGCTGGGAAGAGTGCTTGGCTTGTGTGCATGAGGCCCTGGGTTCGAGTCCTCAGCACCACATAAGCAGAAAAAGCCAGAAGTGTGGCTCAAGTGGTAGAGCGCTAGCCTTGACCTGGATAGCTGAGGGACAGCGCCCAGGCCCAGAGTTCAGGCCCCACAACGAACAACAAAAATCAGATGTAAGATCCTTGAAATGGAATCGGTGCCTCGGCCTTCCAGCAAAAGGTAGCACGAGAACAGTGTGGGTGAGCAGGAAGCTGTGGCCCTGTGCTGCGTGACAGAGTCCACACCGCAGTGCAGATGGGCAGCTGACACACCTCCAACCATGGTGTCTACACAGCGGCTGCCACCCACCACCCCCGGTGGCCACAGCCACGTGACCAGGGCAGCGCACCCAAAAGCAGTGACTGAAATCTGGGAAAGGCCAGAGGGGCACAGACTGAGAGGAGGTCTGGTCGTGTCACAAAGCGTCGCAGCCTGGAAAGGTTTGGAAAGGGCACTGACGGAGGACAACAGCTGGGCCTCTGCTTAATCCTAGCTCCTTGGGAGGACCGAGGATTGGATTGAGGCGAACAGTTCAAAAGGCCTCCATCTCAACCAATAAAAAGCTGGGCACACTGGAATGCAAACAAACAAGGGCTGTAACTCAGGCCAGCCCAACTCTACATGAACAGTAGACAAAAAGGGTGGAGGCGTGGCTCAAGAGGTAGAGTACCTGCCTATCAGATGCAAGGCTGGGAAAGGGGAGGGAGGGCTCTTCAGGAAAGACGCGGTCCTAGGGAGGGGGAGAATCATCATCCAGAGCCCTTGAGCCCCAACGTTGAGGTCCAGCTCCCAACAACCAAACCAGAGGACACGAAGGAGTCGGAGCAGGGGTCTTCACAGTGGGGAGGGCAGGCAATCACAGCCAGCCTGTCTTCAGGTCAGCCCAGCACATTTGCAAGCGGTGTACACGTCTCATGGCCAAGCCAGTGTCAGGCAGCCTCCTCCGGGCAGCTCCACACTGCCCGTGGCAGAGCCCCTGCAGCCTGGCCCGGGCCGGGCACAGGGCGGCTCAACAGCTCTGCACCCGAGGGCAGGGCTGTAACTTGATACACTAGACTATGTTCAGGAAAACTGCAAACTAGAAACTGTAAAAATGTGTAGAGTTGTGCAGGGCCTTGCTCCCTGCCCACCCCTAACAGTGAGCAGTTCCCTGTGAGCCCTGCTCTCCTACAGCCTTCCCCTCATTCTCAGAGGCCAGTCCAGCCAAGAGCATGCAAGGCCAGGCACAGGCCGGACGTCCTGGATCCACATCCCAGCCCCTCAGCAGGAAAGGGGGCACCTGGCTTCCCAGGCCCGGCTCTGCTTGCCTCTGGTACAGAGTACAACAAAATTAGTCACTTTTATTGAAAAGAACAGTACAAATAAGTGTGCAAAAATTAAGTTTCATGATTAAATACACATGGAGGCAGCATGCATACGTGACATGGAATCCACACACAAAGCTGATTACATCACAGTGAAGACACCGGCAGGTCGGGAACTCGACGTCGGGTGGAGTTTAAATGTCTGCAACATGAACTCAAAACTAAAACCGGGCTTCCTGGAAAGGACTCAAGACAATTAATGCACAGCTCGGTGGCACCACCACGCAGGTCCTGTACCCACACCAGTGCGGCCATGTCTCCCGTTCAGGGTAGTGTTCAGTTTTCCTCCAGATGCCAGGGGGAGGGGGCTTGGGAGTGGGCAGCGGCTGCCACCGCTCCCAGTGACAGGCAGACGGCAGTGGACACTGCAGGGCAGGGCCCCAAACTACCCACCGCCTTCTCCGACCCCTCTGACTTGTCCCCTGTCTGTACCGGAAAACTCCCTTTGAACCCAGTCTAACCAGGAGAGCCAGCCCGGTCGGTCGAGGACCAGGGCTCGTGGGGCGCCACGCTGGGCCCAGGGGCCGTGGTGCTGGTGCTCGCAACGGCCGGCTGCGTCTCTGTGCAGCAGGCCCAGGCTGCATCGGCTGACATGCCCACCTGCACGTCACCGCGGGCTCGGGGGCAATGATGGAGCTGCTGCAGACACAAGCTTCTGCCATCACGGCTGCTCTGGGCAGGCATGAGGGAGCAGCGGGAACACCAACGCCAATGCCAGAGCTGAATGACAGGGCAGCGTCTGCGGAGCTGGGCCGGTGATCCTCTTTAATGTGGGAGCCGTAAGCCCGGCTCTGGAAGGACAGCCACGCAGGGCCTCAGGACGCGGTCCCAGGAGCCCGCGGGCACCCGGAGCGCGGCCACGGGCATCACAGCCTGTCGTCCGTCATCTCCAGGAACTGTGCACACACATCCCGCGCACACTCGCCCTTGGGACTGAACAGGAACTTGTAGTAGCTGCCATCGGCGCAGATCGCTGGGACAGAGGGGAGAGCATGTCACCACGGCCCTCTTCCACGAAGTTAAGAGCACCCAGGTCTCCCCACGCTATGCAAGCAAACGGCCTCCAGGACCCTGAGCACAGAGCAGCCCGACGCACGCCGGGGCAGTAAGGGGGCGCTTCTCCTGGGAAGGCGGCAGAGCCGAAGCTCGCCCGCCTCGCCCCCCTCCCCCAGGGGACCACTCACCAATGACTGCATTGGGCTCCGTTCCAAAGGCACAGATGCACGGAGAGCCGGAGGGGACCTGGAACTTGGAGAAACTCCACTTGGAGCTGAAGTACTTGGGAAGGAAGCTGGCTGACGCCAGGCTGTGGGGACACAAGAGAGGGGTGGGGCTTACAAAGGCAGACAGACGCTTAAACTCAGAAACCACCGGAAACACCAAGGCTTTAAACTTGATGCTTTTAGTTCTAAATTTTTTTTTCTTTTTTTCTTTTTGTCAGTCATGGGGCCTGAACTCTGGGCCTGGGCGCTGTCTCTCAGCTCTTCAGCTCAAGGCGAGCACTCTACCACTTGAGCCACAGCGCCACTTTGGTTTTTCTGATTGTTTATTGGAGGTAAGAGTGTCATGGACTTTCCTGCCTGGGCTGGCTTTGAACCACAATCCTCAGATCTCAGCCTCCTGAGAAGTTAGGATTACAGGTGTGAGCCACTGGTGCCCGGCTAAAAAAGCTTTTATTACTTACATAAAACCTCGACGTCCTTAGAAATGTTTTTAAATGAGATTGTGGTTAGTGTGCCCAGTTCCAGGAAATGTCTCTCCACCAGCATTCCAGAAAGAACTGCTGTGGTGCTCCACAGCACCTGACAGCATTAGCGTGGAGTACCAGGCTCACAGCACCTGACAGCATTAGCACAGGGGGACCAAGTTCCACAGCACCTTACAGCATTAGCACAGGGGGACCAGGTTCCACAGCACCAGACAGACAGCGTTAGCACAGGGGGACCAGGCTCCACAGCACCTGACAACATTAACACAAGGGAACCAGGTTCCACAGCACCTGACAACATTAGCACAGGGGGACCAGGCTCACAGCACCTGACAGACAGCGTCAGCACGGGGAGACCAGCAGTGGACAGCAAGGGTTTCTGTCAGTCGGTGCTGGGCCAGCAGGCCTCCTCTACAGCACCGTCACACTTGCTTCCGAACCCAAACAAAGGACAGGTGAGAGGCGTCCACGCGAGCAGCAGCGCCGCCAGCCCGCAGCATTCCTGACACTTGCCTTGACTGCTTATTCCTTTTTGGGTCTTCGGCTGCGAAGATGTGCACGGTGCCGTGGTCACTGGACACGCAGATGAGCGACGCGTCCTGATTGAAGTTGATGCTGCCAAGGAAACAGACTCAGGCCCGCGCCGAGACCCGACGCGCCGAGACCCGACGCGCCGAGACCCGACGCGCCGAGACCAGACGGGCGCTGCCCTGCCGGCTGCGGAGGCCTCAGCACTCCAGCTTCAACAACACAGGTTTTGGGTTTTTCTGTCACTGATGTGTCTTGAACCCTGGACCTGGGCGCTGCCCCTCAGCTCTTCAGCTCAAGGCTGGCACTCTACCACTTGAGCCACAGCGCCACTTCCGGTTTTCTGGTGGTTTATTGGAGATAAGACTCTCATGGACTTTCCTGCCAGGGCTGGCTTTGAACCACAATCCACAGATCTCAGCCTCACGAGCAGCTAGGATTACAGGCCTGAGCCACGGGTGCCTGACTAAGAACTCAGTTTTAAGGACCTGCTCTTTGATATCCAACATATTCTTCATGGTACAAAGAGAAGGAAAAGCCCAAGAGGCAGAGCATAGTCTCAGCTGTCTCCAGACACCCCAGGGTGCCACCTGGGGTGGGGGACTCGAGACCCCATGCCCACTGAGAGGCTCAGGCTGCCCCTAGGTGCCGGCACTAGCCGGCGGAGCACCCAAGGACCTTGCAGACCCCCAGGGGCGGCCTGCCCCGAGGGACTCCTGGGATGCGACAATCAACAGGGGAGGTCCAAAATCAAAAGAGCCGGGCGCTGGTGGCTCACGCCTGTAATCCTAACTTCTCAGAAAAAAACCCAGGAAGAGTCAGACACAGGAGGTGAGGACGCTGCGCCGTCTCAGGGCGCAGAGCGACCACGCTGTGTATCTGAGTGTGTCCTCCATAATTAAAGGTGGAGTCAGTAACAATCAAGACCTGCCTGCTGCCACGTGAGCCTCTCACGGGCTGCTCTCCAGGGCAGTCACTGGCCTCCTTACCAGTAGATATTAGCTGCTTGAGATCCTCTTCGTAGCTCCTGGATTAAATGCCCTGATGAAGTATCAAATATTCTTATAAGGGTCCCCTTTGAAAAACAGCGAAGTGTTTCATTATCAACAACTGACATGTCACCGTTCCTGAAATATTCATGCATTCACAAACCCACCTGCCCAACCTCCCAACCTCCCACATGTCCCTGGTCTGCCCACGCAGCCACCCAGAGCACAGGGCAGGGGCCAGTACGGCTCAGGAGACCATACAGGAAGGCCTTCCGAGATCCCGGCAGCTGACGCCCTGGCCAAGTCCCGAACAACCTCAGGCCCAGGCTGGTGCCGTTTCTCCAGTCTAGGAAATTTCACCTGAGTTATGATGAGGGCACATGGAATCCTAGAGACAAAAGCAGCCTCCAGACACAGCCGTGTCCAGTGGAGGGGCAAAAGTGCGGTTCACACCACAGCCACGGCCCAGCACCGGCCCAGAGCCAGGGGAGGCAGAGGTGCCGGGCACACCCAGCACGCCAGGGCGGCAGACACGCTCGCGTGCGTGAGGTATCACCCCACTAAAGTGTGTTGCTTTCTGATACCAGGCTTGCATTCTTAAAAAAATTAAAGTAAAAAGCATAAACTGTCTTTGGAAATGTATAAAGTCAGGCTAATGAAAGTAAAAAAAGTCATAGGTAAACCTTTTTAAAAGCAACTTTTTCATATCACGCAACCTGCAGGAAAATAGTGCCAGTATTTTAAATGTAAGGTGGTGGAAATTCAGCCAGGAGCACTGCTCCGCAGTGCAGCAGCACATACTGAGACACACCACGCAGTTCTGAGTGGCTTAGAGGCTTCTGCCAAGAAACCGCAGGGAGGACCTGGGTGTGAACTGCAGGCTTCTTTCTTCTTGTGTTTATCTTATTTTCTCTCTTTTTTTTTTGGGAGGGGGGGGAGGGGTCTGGTCGTGGGCCTGAACTCTGGGCCTGGGCGCTGTTCCTCATATCTTCAGCTCAAGGCCAGCGCTCTACCACTTGAACCACAGCACACTTCTGGCTTTTTTTTCCTGCTTATGTGGTGCTGAGGAATCGACCCCAGGGCCTCATGCATGCGAGGCAAGCGCTCTACCACTGAGCCGCCTTCCCAGCCCATTTTTATCTTATTTTGAGATAGGGTCTCACTATATCGCCCAGGCTCCCAGGCTGGTTATGAACTTGCCATCCGCCTGGCCCCGGCCTCCACTACTGGATTCACAGAAACCCCACACCAGGCTGTCTTAGCGCAAGCCTGGCGTGCGGGCGGGAGCGGCCTGGGCGGCCAGCTCCACGGCGGGTCTCACCTTGTCCGAGGCCGTTGCGATCCTGGTGCCCTGCAGGCTGAGAGCGATACAGCTGAGCACGCCCTCGTGTGCGGGGATGTCCACGGGCGGCTTCTCCGTACTGGCCAGGTCCACCAGCTGCACGTGGCCCGTGTGGGTGCCCGGGAAGGCCAGGAGGGAGTTGTTACTGTTGGGACACAGGACGCAGAGGCCTGGGGAGACAAACCCACCAGAGCTGACAACGGCAAGGCTTCCAAGCCTCACAACCCAAACATACTCTGTCCTCTAGTCCACAAGCAGAGTGGCAGCCACAACCCAGAACCCCCAAGTCAAAGACACGCTGATGGGAAATGGTATGATGGGAAATGGTATTGGGGACTCTTTCCTTGTAATTGCCAGACAGTTCACTGCTGCTGGGACTGCAGTCAATGCTAAAAAGTAAACTACTCCACAGGCAACAAACAGCATAAAAACCCCTCAAATACTTAGAAATGAAGGCACAGGTGCACGTCACTAAGACTCCACCCGGCCTTGTCCCTGGCCGTGCACCTAGCTCACTGTGTCAATGAAGTCAGAGCTAATCCTCAGCCGACAGCGGACAAAGCCAGGCACAAAAACTAAGACTGAAGGAAGCCAAAACTTGACCCTCACGCTCCTCAGCTCCTGCCCCGTAGCGGTGGGGAAAAGAGCTGTGATGGTAACGAACAAGCAAGTTAGGAAAGAGAAGAAACTGTGGGCACCTGTGGTGTGTACAGGAGAACCTGCTCTGTGGGAGGGCAAGGCTGTGGGAGGGCCGGGCGAGGGCCCCGTGCACCACAGCAGCAGGGCCGGGCGAGGGCCCCGTGCACCACAGCAGCAGGGCCGGGCGAGGGCCCCGTGCACCACAGCAGCAGGGCCGGGCGAGGGCTCAGTGCACCACAGCGGCAGGGCCGGGCGAGGGCCCCGTGCACCACAGCGGCAGGGCCGGGCTGGGCTCAGCTCACCACAGCGGCAGGGCCGGGCGAGGGCCCCGTGCACCACAGCAGCAGGGCCGGGCGAGGGCCCCGTGCACCACAGCAGCAGGGCCGGGCGAGGGCTCAGTGCACCACAGCGGCAGGGCCGGGCGAGGGCCCCGTGCACCACAGCGGCAGGGCCGGGCTGGGCTCAGCTCACCACAGCGGCAGGGCCGGGCGAGGGCTCAGTGCACCACAGTGGCAGGGCAGGGCCGGGCGAGGGCCCAGTGCACCACAGCGGCAGGGCCGGGCTGGGCTCAGCGCACCACAGCGGCAGGGCCGGGCTCAGCGCACCACAGCGGCAGGGCCGGGCTGGGCTCAGCGCACCACAGCGGCAGGGCCGGGCCGGGCTCAGCGCACCACAGCGGCAGGGCCGGGCTGGGCTCAGCGCACCACAGCGGCAGGGCCGGGCGAGGGCTCAGCGCACCACAGCGGCAGGGCCGGGCTGGGCTCAGCACACCACAGCGGCAGGGCCGGGCGAGGGCTCAGTGCACCACAGTGGCAGGGCAGGGCCGGGCTGGGCTCAGCGCACCACAGCGGCAGGGCCGGGCTGGGCCCAGCGCACCACAGCGGCAGGGCCGGGCTGGGCCCAGCGCACCACAGCGGCAGGGCCGGGCTGGGCTCAGCACACCACAGCGGCAGGGCCGGGCTGGGCTCAGCTCACCACAGCGGCAGGGCCGGGCTGGGCTCAGCTCACCACAGCGGCAGGACAGGGCCGGGCTGGGCTCAGCGCACCACAGCGGCCAGGCCGCGGCTGCCCCCACACCCTGGGACAGGACCCTCACCCAGAGCTCCCCCTCCAGCCCTCACCTTTAGGGTTGTAGCAGGTCTCAAAGACATGCAGCTGATGAGGGTTGTGTGTGAACGTGAACACCTTAATCATGGAGTCCAACACCACCACGATTCTGAAAAGAAAAATGTGGTTGGTTTTCCCCCTTCAAACGGGAAAGGCACGTTTTGTGACCTCTTGTCACGCTTGGAGACACTGAGGCCACCACTCACAGCCCGCCCTCCTCCTCCAGCACGGGCTCTCCACGCGTGGAGGCTGGGGGCGGGTGAGGCGGTGCTCTTCGGGTAGGCCCTGGGGCAGGCGGGCGCCCCAGCCCTGAGCTCCCCAGGCTCCCGTGTGCACAGGTCATCCCCACACCGCTCCTCCCCCAGAGCTGAGGAAGGCGCCGGCCCACCTGTCTCTCCGCAGCTTGACCGCCTTGACCTCCGTGGAGAACTCGATCTCGATGACAGTCTTCTTCTTCAGGTCGTCCCAGATCATCACTGAAACGCACAGCAGCACGCTCACGCCCCGGCAGCCGCCGTGGGGGCGGCCCGGACCGCGCGCCCGCGGTTATCCCCGGGAATGGCCAGGGCCGATGCTCACACCCTCCCTCAGGCGGTGCTCCTAGTCTCCCTTTCCTCCCCGCTCGGCACACACAAACCAGCCAAGGTCTCAGGCCACCAACCTGCCTTACTCGCAGACCTGTGCATCTTAATCTGCTAGCCCATCTTTGCCTGGTTAGCTCAAGCAAAGAGTCCCTCTCCCCTCTACCCTGAGTCAAAAACAAGACGGACTGCAACACCAAATGCGCCAGAACTAGAGACAACAGCTCTATTTAAAGGGCCATGCACAGTGGAGCAGGGCCCAGTCCCCAGGAGGCTAAAACAGGCAGAAGGCAAGTTCTAGGCCAGCTAGGTCTACTCCAGCGTGGAAGGTGAGTGTTGGTGAAATCAGAGGCAGGTGTAACACCGGAAGCGTGGACGCTGGGAGGCCGTGTGGTCCCTGACCGGGTCATTCACACTGTGGGGCGGGGCACCAAGGGAGCCCGGGACCTGAGGCATGCCCCCCACGCTGGAGCACGCATCCCAACATCCCTACTCCATGTGTTGGGTTAACTGCAGGGCAGATCAGGTCTCCACACAGGCCGGCCAGACCTCCAGGTACACAGCCTCTTACACCCCTGTGTGTATATGTGTACACACACACACTCATCTATACATTTATATGGACACAAAAGCTCACGCTAACAAGTTTATCTTTTTTATCTTACTTTGCTTTTTTTTGTCGGTCACGGGGCTTAAACTCAGCCTGGGCGCTGTCCTTCAGCTCCAGGCGAGCACTCTACCGCTTGAGCCACAGCGCCACTTCCAGTTTTCTAGTGGTTTATTGGAGATAAGAGTCTCACAGACTTTCCTGCCTGGGCTGGCTTTGACCGTGATCCTCAGATCTTGGCCTCCTGAGTAGCTAAGATTACAGGCGTTAGCCACCAGCGCACAGCTACAAGTTTATCTATTTTGTTGGTGGTGGTGGTGGGGCTTGAACTTGGGGCCTCTTTGTGCTCAAGGACAGCACTCTACCACTTGGAGCCACAGTTCTACTTCTGGCTTTTTCTTATGAGTTTATTGGGAGGTTAAGAGTCTCAGACTTTACTGCCAAAGCCAGATCTCAGCCTCCTGAGTAGCTAGGATTACAGACGTGAGCCATCAGTGCCCAGTAGAGTTTATCTTTTATCTTTATTGTTGTTTTGATTTGTTTTTGACTTCTCATGTTTGTCTTAAATCTTATCTTCTTTTTTTTGGGGGGGGGGGGTCCAGTCGTGGGGCCTGAACTCTGGGTCTGGGCGCTGTCCCTCAGCTCTTCAGCTCAAGGCTAGCGCTCTACCACTTGAGCCACAGCGCCACTTCCGGCTTTTTTCTTTTTGCTTATGTGGTGCTGAGGAATGGAACTCAGGGCCTCAGGCATGCAAGGCAAGAGCTCTACCACTGAGCCACCTTCCCAGCCCTTAATCTTATCTTCTTTCCCAGTCCTTTCTCACCCACATCCAATCATATTTTCTGCAGAACGACTTTCTGGCTTGAGACTGGAATTAGAGCTCGGCACCAGGTGCTTGCTTTCGCTCACTGGTGGTGCTCCTCCAAGGACCTCACAGCTACAGCCAGCAAGCCTACGCGCCATTCATTCTCAATGTCGTGTGGTACTTTTTCAGTTTTTGTTTTTCACTTCCGGCATCCTACTTGCGTCCCCTGTAGATGAAACTACACTGGTAGGAACTGCCACCACTGTCACCATGAGAAAATTTAAGTTTTGTGTGAGATTTTACAGGTAAGCGAGACTCGACAGTGAAAAACAGTTCCCCTGCGTGTGGACAGGGGCTAGCCACCTGCTGCTCACAATCTCCCTCTCCTCCTTGGTGGTCGGACTGCTCCTGGTCCGAGTCAATCATCAGCAGTATTGTGCCTCCCAAGCATTCCCACAGGCCCCGGCGGGCCCTCTGTCCCCCCAGGGCGCCTGGCCGGTCTCGCTACACAGCTTTACGCTGCCGACACAGACAAGCATGCACCTAGGAGGCGGAACAACTACCTACAGGCCAAGCAGAAACTCACAATCCCCTCCCATTCACTGCTCCTGGTGGACACTACAACAAAAACAGAGGTGGCTGTCAGGGGCCAGCCCACCAACGACACTGAGAATTCAGCCTGGGCCAGGTGTGTGACCCAGGGACTCACGGAAATACATTTAACAGTGAAATCTGTTCGTACTTCCCTTTCTACTCCCTTCCGTTCCTCTCCCCCTACCAACCCACCCTGGAACCTGCCAGTGCTGGCTGCCCAGTCCTCAGGGCGCCGGCGGCACTGCCGCACAGATGCCCCAGCTCCTCACACCCATGTGTTGCTTCTGGATATGCACTGCTTTTATACTGACGCTTCCCTAGTGCACACACAACGCCTCTCTCTCCTGGAACGTGAACCTGCCCCTGCCCGCCCCACTATTCCCCTCCTTCCCAAGTAGGGGTGACATTTTCTGTGTGCCCTACCTCACTCGGCCTCTTCCTCATTCAGGTAAGTGCTAGCTTAAGTACTTTGCAGGCAAGGGAGCTGCCTGGCAGCTCTCCACCCATCTCAGCTACAACGCTCATGCATGCATGCACGCATACACACACACAGTGCTCACACCCAGAGCCCATCGGCTCTCTCCATGGCCTGCACACTGCCGTGTCTTCCCAGGAAGCTTTAGTCTGTGACATCTATGACAGCCAACCGCAGTTCAGCAAGCCCTCCTTTACCAAGAGAAGATGTTCAACGCTCCACATCCAGTCAGACGCTCCTTTCCCCTCACCCTCCGCCCCACGGTGACTAGAGGCTCCCACGTGGCCTGGGGCTACTGCAGAGAATGTGGCGGTAAGCTCAGAACTCGCCTCCACGTGGCCAGGCCAGAAGGGCAGCACTACCTTACCTTTGTTGGGAGGGTATTTCGGCTTTTTCCCACCACCAACTAAAGCTAAATAGTTGCAGCGAAACAACATCTCCACATGGCCGACTCCTCCTTCCAGAAACTCTGAAATGAGTTTAAGAAAGCGTGTCAATATGAAGACATGTAACATTAAGCACCTCACCCTTTAAGCCGTCTAAGCTATTGTCTTCAGATAGTTTTACGAGGGCATTTGGTGTCACACGGCCATGTGTGCACGCAATGCACCCTGTTCAATCGGTCCTAGCATGCCACTCTTCTTTGTTGGTGCCAGTACGAGGCGTCAATGCAGGGCCTGGGCGCTGTCCCTCAGCTCTACCACTTGAGCCACAGCACCACTTCTGGAATTCTGGTGGTTAACTGGAGGTGAGAGTCTCACAGACTTTCCTGCATGAGCTGGCTTTGAACCATGATCCTCAGATCTTAGCCTCCTGAGTAGCTAGGATTGCAGGTGTGAGCCACCAGTGCTTAAATGTTAAGCTAACTCTTATCACAAGACTATAAGAACAAGACAAAACAGTTTAAAAAAACCTATAGTGCTCTACAGTTTTGAGGTATATGCTGGATCACAGACTGCAATCCCTGTGCATAGGCAATGTGTAACAGTGAGACTATGACCCGTGCAGGTGTGCATCGGGGATGGCAGTAGCAGTGTAACTGTTGACCAGTGCTGGTGTGCACGGGGGTGGCTGTAATGATCAGACTGTGATCTGTGCTGGTGTGCATGGGATGGCTGTAATGATGAGACTGTGATCTGTGCTGGTGTGCACGGGGGTGGCTGTAATGATCAGACTGTGATCTGTGCTGGTGTGCATGGGGATGGCTGTAATGATGAGACTGATCTGTGCTGGTGTGCATGGGGATGGCTGTAATGGTGAGACTGTGATCTGTGCTGGTGTGCATGGGGATGGCTGTAATGATCAGACTGTGTGATCTGTGCTGGTGTGCATGGGGATGGCTGTAATGATCAGACTGTGATCTGTGCTGGTGTGCATGGGGATGGCTGTAATGGTGAGACTGTGATCTGTGCTGGTGTGCATGGGGGTGGCTGTAATGATCAGACTGTGATCTGTGCTGGTGTGCATGGGGATGGCTGTAATGATCAGACTGTGTGATCTGTGCTGGTGTGCATGGGGATGGCTGTAATGATGAGACTGATCTGTGCTGGTGTGCATGGGGATGGCTGTAATGATCAGACTGTGATCTGTGCTGGTGTGCACGGGGGTGGCTGTAATGATCAGACTGTGATCTGTGCTGGTGTGCATGGGGATGGCTGTAATGATCAGACTGTGTGATCTGTGCTGGTGTGCATGGGGATGGCTGTAATATTAGGTGAGACTGTGATCTGTGCTGGTGTGCATGGGGATGGCTGTAATGGTGAGACTGTGATCTGTGCTGCTGTGCATGGGGATGGCTGTAATGATCAGACTGTGATCTGTGCTGGTGTGCATGGGGATGGCTGTAATGATCAGACTGTGATCTGTGCTGGTGTGCATGGGGATGGCTGTAATGATCAGACTGTGATCTGTGCTGGTGTGCATGGGGATGGCTGTAATGATCAGACTGTGTGATCTGTGCTGGTGTGCATGGGGATGGCTGTAATGATCAGACTGTGATCTGTGCTGGTGTGCATGGGGATGGCTGTAATGATCAGACTGTGATCTGTGCTGGTGTGCATGGGGATGGCTGTAATGGTGAGACTGTGATCTGTGCTGGTGTGCATGGGGATGGCTGTAATGATCAGACTGTGTGATCTGTGCTGGTGTGCATGGGGATGGCTGTAATGATGAGACTGATCTGTGCTGGTGTGCATGGGGATGGCTGTAATGATCAGACTGTGATCTGTGCTGGTGTGCATGGGGATGGCTGTAATGATCAGACTGTGATCTGTGCTGGTGTGCATGGGGATGGCTGTAATGGTGAGACTGTGATCTGTGCTGCTGTGCATGGGGATGGCTGTAATGATCAGACTGTGTGATCTGTGCTGGTGTGCATGGGGATGGCTGTAATGATGAGACTGATCTGTGCTGGTGTGCATGGGGATGGCTGTAATGATCAGACTGTGATCTGTGCTGGTGTGCATGGGGATGGCTGTAATGATCAGACTGTGTGATCTGTGCTGGTGTGCATGGGGATGGCTGTAATGGTGAGACTGTGATCTGTGCTGGTGTGCATGGGGATGGCTGTAATGGTGAGACTGTGATCTGTGCTGGTGTGCACGGGGATGGCTGTAATGGTGAGACTGTGATCTGTGCTGCTGTGCATGGGGATGGCTGTAATGATCAGACTGTGTGATCTGTGCTGGTGTGCACGGGGATGGCTGTAATGATCAGACTGTGTGATCTGTGCTGGTGTGCATGGGGATGGCTGTAATGGTGAGACTGTGACCATGACAATGTGCACGGGGATGGCTATAAAGATGGAACTGTGAACAGTGTTGTGATAAAGCTGGTGCACACGTAAGCTTGTGTGCAAGTGACAAGCACTAATTACAGGCTTTATTCCTTCCAACCCACCCCCCTCCTTTTTTTCTTGTTCTGTCGTGGGGCTTGGATTCAGGGCTTGGGCACTGTCCCTGAGCTTTTCACTCAAGGCTTACATTCTACCATTTTGAGCCACAACGCCACTTCTAGTTTTCTAGTAGCTAACTGGAGATAAGAGTCTCACAGACTTTTCTCAAGCTGGTGTGAACCTCCATCCTGAGATCTCAGCCTCTAAGCTGCTAGGATTACAGGAGTGAGTCACGAGCACCTGGCCAACCTACTCATTTTTAGAGCAACTTTATACAAGAAGCATTGTTCATCGTCTTCACTTTACACAAAAGTTGAGTCCCAGAGAATCTGAGGAACCTTCCCAGGATCACACAGCAACCAGGTAAATGGCAGAGCTGGTTGGCACCAGGTTAGGCTGTTTCTTCTATCATGAAGTGCTATACAGTCTGGGCTTCAGAAGTGTTTCTCAAAGTCTCTGCTGTAGGCCCACTTAGCGGCACACCAGGCACTCCCGACACCTGCTTCTTACAGACAAACAGCTCTAGAACTAGAAACTTAACAACTTAAACTACAGAGACAAAGGATATTGCTCATTTAGCTGAGATCTATTCACTCAGCAGCAGCGCATGACCACCCCAGCAGAAAGAGAGAACTGCCAAACATGTAAGAAAAAGACAAACCAAACAATCCTGCACTCTACAATTCTAGCACCCCTCTAAATGCTCATCTGTTCCCTGATAAAATAGGAAAAGTAATACAATTATTTTATTTACCAGTGTACATATTCCAGCTTTAAAATTTTATTTCATGGGGCTGGGAAGGTGGCTCAGTGGTAGCGTGCTTGCCTTGCATGCATGCGGCCCTGGGTTCCATTCCTCAGCACCACATAAGCAGAAAAGGCCAGAAGTGGCGCTGTGGCTCAAGTGGTAAAGCGCTCGCCTTGAGCTGAAGAGCTGAGGGACAGCGCCCAGACCCAGAGTTCAGGCCCCACGACCGATAAAAAAAAAAAAAGAAGAAAAAGAACTGGCAAGGAGTGAAGATTCGGGAGAAGACTGGAGAGACAGAGTCGGCAGGTGGAGCCCTAGTCCAGTCCACCATGAGAGTCTTGTGGACTTTTCTGCCTGGGATGCTTTGTTTTTGAGCCATGATCCTCAGATCTCAGCCTCCTGAGGAGAGTTACAGGCATAGAGCCACCTCCTGGCCAGCTCTAGACTCTGGGACTGGACAGTGAGATGCAGAAAATGGCCATCACTGCTTACCTTGTTTCTCTTTCTCCTTGAGTGGATCGGTGTTATAGACTCGGAATCCATTCTCCATCCCACACGCAAAGCACCCTAATTCACAGAGTATGGAGAGAGACAAGTTACTGGGCAAAAGCAAGGTCCAAAGAAACCGACACAGACTACAAGCCCTTTGCAGACAGGATGCCACTGCACTCCAGCTACTTTGCTTCAGACATGCTATTTGGCAAGTTGTGGGTCCTCAAGACACGTTCCGACTGCTCGGCATGCAGACTAAGATTTCCCCCTGCCACTGAACTCCAGCGAAAGGTTCTGAGCTCCTCAGAGCCACTGCCACTGGGCACTCCCCGAACCCCAGGAGACACGGCAGGTACCGCATCAGGCCATTCAACAAGAAAATACATGCCGCGCCGGGCACTGGCAGCTCACGCCTGTAATCCTAACTCCTCAGGAGGCTGAGATATGAGGATCCCGGTTCAAAGCCAGCCCGGGCAGGAGAGACCGTGAGACTCCTATCTCCAATAAACCACCAGAAAACCGGAAGTGGCGCTGTACCTAAGTAGTAGAGCGCTCGCCTTGAGCTGAAGAGCTGAGAGATAGCGCCCAGGCCCAGGGTTCAAGCCTCACGACTGACAAAAAAAAAAAAAAGGAAGAAAATACATGTCCGATGGAGGACAGGCAAAAAGCAGGTGACCGTGGTCCATGGAACAGGCCAGCCCAGGGGACAGACAGGGTGCTGGGAGAGAGGGCCATCCTAGGACCCTGGGATGGGAAGCTGGGAAAGGGATGAGGCTCCCAAGACCTCAAGCCTCACACACACACGTGGTCATGTGGTTAGTGTGACCCAGGGCACTGCCTCCAGTTCACACTCAGGCTCTTAGCGGTCCAATAAGGTACTGCTAAGAACTGAGAAAACACCCAAGTTTCAAACTAATGTGGTGCTGGACTCTGTGACCTGAGTGACACAAGACTAACCTTCCTTATTTGTATTTTCTATTTTACTTATGCTTTTTTTCTTTCTTGGGGGTACTGGGGCTTGAACTCAGGGCTGATCAACAGGACTCTACCATTTGGTCACACTTTCCATCCTCACTAATCCCTACCCCCTTCCCCCCTGCACCCACACCCCAGTCCTGGGGCTGTTCAGGGCCTGGGTGCCATCTCTGAGCCTCTTTATACTCAAAGCTGTAGCTCTACCACTTGAGCCACAGCGCCATCTCTGGCTTTTTCTGAGTAGTTTACTGGAGATGAGAGTCTTGTGGACTTTTCTGCCCAGGATGCTTTGAGCCATGATCCTCAGATCTCAGCCTCCTGAGGAGGGTTACAGGCATAAGCCACAGCATCCACCTCATTAAGCCCCTTTAAATACCACGCCCAGTTATTGTTCACATGAAAATAGAACAAAAATCAAAAATTCAGCTGGTTGCTGGTGGCTCACACCTTTAATCTTAGCTACTCCGGAGGCTGAGGTCACAGTTCAAAGCCAGTCCAGGCAAGAAACCTTGTGAGACTCTTCATCTCCAATTAACTGCCAAAAGTCCAGTTCAAGCGATAGAGTATTAGCCTACAACAGGAAAGCTCAGGGACAGGCCCAAGACGGGCACGCACACACCATCAAATCTCTGCTCCCTCCACCCTCTCTTCCCTCCCTGCTCCGTCAGTAACAGCGTTTGAACCCAGGATCTCACACTCTCGTTCAGTTTTTGCTTGTTCACGGCTGGTGCTCTGCCATGGGACCCTTGAGCCTCGCCTCCAGCCTGGCATTTTTGAGATGGAGTTTTACGCTTTTTTTCCAAGGCTGCCCCAAGCATCTGGCACAGGGCAAACCTTCCCATGATGCAAATTTGGTTCCTCACAATGACTGTGAAGCAGACATTAGGGTGGATGCACCTGCTGGCTTTGTCCCACCTCTCCTGTTTTGGAGGATGATGAGTCTGTGTCCAGTTTGTTCAAGTCACATAAGACAGACATCCGAAGACCCAAACACCACTGGCAGCTGTCTTCATGTATGGAGACTACTTTTTGGTTTTTGTTTTTTTGTTGGTCCTGGGGCCTGAACTCTGGGCCTGGGTGCTGTCCCTCAGCTCTTCAGCTCAAGGTGAGCGCTCTACCACTTGAGCCACAGTGCCACTTCCAGCTTTCTGGTGGTTTATTGGAGATAAGAGTCTCACGGACTTTCCTACCCCGGCTGACTTACAACGGCAATCCTCAGATCTCAGCCGCCAGAGTAGCTAGGATGACAGGAGTGAGCCAACAGCGCCTGGCCCATATTCTCTCTCTTAACTATTACATTTTCAAGTTTTAAGTCTATATATCTAGCCAAAGATTTAAAAGTATATATAAACCCATAAACCCACAAGCAAAAGGCAACAAACAGCTCAACAACAAACAAAAATAGAGGCCATACAAGATATGGTCAGTAACACAGGATCTTCAGCAATCAAATCTGTAGTAATAGCACAATGAGCCTACTATCCATCAGCCACAGCGAGGACCACGGCAGCTATCCCAGGTGGAGACCTGGGAACTGGGCGCTGCTGCTAGTATGGAAGGGAGACCTGGGAACTGGGCGCTGCTGCTATGGAGGGGAGACCTGGGAACTGGGGGCTGCTATGGAGGGCATGCAGAAGGAGCTGCACTGTGTATGGCAGCTGTTAATCCTGAAGAATTTCAAACTCATGCTCATCACCGGGTGCTCCAGGGTAATCAAGCAGTACTACCATACACATGGGAAACAAAAATACCATCCATGGATCTCACAAAGGAGCAGTGTCTATAACCACACTCAATGAGATGGGGGGAAACACATAAAGACGCAAGCCAAAACAGTAGCAGAATGCTTGCCCAGCACGCCCTCCGCCCTCAGCACCATAAAACAGCCCAAGCCAGAAATAAGCACAAAAATACAAAGCAGGCAACACTAGCCTACAGGGGAGGTCAGACTCGAGGCAGGCACCAAGGTGCTCAGGGTGGCCGAGCACCTGAAGCTGGTGTTGGCAAGAGGTAGCTGCAGTTTGGAAAACACATCAACCTGAACTCACAAGTACACTTCGATAGGAGATAAAACACAAAACTGAGGGCTGGAGGGAATAAAAGCACACTCTGAGGGTGTATGCTTTTACTCTTGCCATCCCAACAAAAACTTTTTTTCTGCAGGATGCTGGTGGCTCACGCCTGTCATCCTAGCCACTCAGGAGGCTGAGATCTGAGGATTGTAAGGTCCATTCCTGGACGGCGAACAGACCTCACCCAGTACCTGCGTTACCTAGGCAACTGGGATACCTGGAAGAGGTCACATCCGCATCCGCTGAGGTCACATCTTAACCTGATGTGGCCACACCTTTCTCCCACCTGATCCCACTTCCCTTTACCTGGACACACCCTTCCCCACCCCCTACCCTATATAAGGCCTAAACCGCGGCCAGACCGCCCTTTTTTTTTTCCTTTTGCCAGCCGCGTGGAGTGCCAACCTTGCCTGGTCCCAGCAGGTCTACTGAATAAACCTACCCCTTACCTGAATACCACGTGCGTGGTGCAGTTCTTACTCGGCCACCTCTTTTAAAAACCTAACATAAATGGTGCCGTGACTCGGATAAAGGGCTTAAAGTCAGGATAGCTGGATTCCTCTCTGTTTTTTTTCCTTTTCTTTTCTTTTTTTTCGTTTTTTGTTTGTTTTCCCCTTTTTGCTCTGAGGAATACCCACAGTTCTGACGGCCTTTTATGAACCCGTCTATCTGCTGCGGACACAGTGCATCAATTCTATTGCTGGCCTCTGCATCTTCCTCCACACTTCTACATTTTGGTGAGTGACCTACTCTCTAAGGGTTCTCTGTCGTTCAGTCTCTTTCCAGATACCACGCCGGAGAACCTACTAGGCCTTTACTTGACTCTGGTTGCTCGTCACTTCTCTCTAGAGGGCTCGGTGGTAAGTTGGGACACCGCTTCCATTCAGTAAGCCCTCCTTCACTCACTAAATTTTCCTCTTAAGTTTTTCTCTTTTACATTTCCAATGGGTTGTTGTAAGTCACGCCCAAAGGAGGAAACTCCATTGAAATGCCTCCTGCGTTCCCTGGATGTCTTGTCTATTGACTGCATCAACAAGAAACAACTGATTTATTATTGCACTCAAGTTTGGCCACAGTACCAACTGGATAATCGTTCTCGATGGCCCAAAGACGGGACTTTTGACTACGTCATTCTCAGAGATTTAGACGATTTTTGCCGTCGTAATGGTAAATGGTCTGAGGTCATTCATATTCAGCCATTCTTTGCTCTCCGGGACAACCCTGCCCTATGCCAATCATGCCCGGCCTTTCCACTCCTCCTGGCACGTGGAGAACCCAGCTCTGATAGCGCAGGGCCCCATCCGGAGCCTGATGTGGCTGACCCTCTTTTTGACTCTGCCCCTCTTCCTGCTGAGCATCTGGTGCCTTCCCCACCTTCTTCACTCTCCTCTCCTTCACCCTCTCTCTCTTCCCCCCCTGCAGCTCACACCCGGTCTCGCACTGGTGGCACACAACCTCCACCAGACCCCATGTGCCCTTTGCGAGAGGTGGCAGGGGCTGAAGGTGTAATTAGGGTGCATGCGCCATTCTCAATGTTTGATATTGCTCAGATTGAGAAGAGGCTGGGATCTTATGCCCAAGATTCTAATAATTATGTTAAGCAGTTTAAGAACCTGGCTCAGACCTATGACCTTACTTGGCAGGACATATATCTAATACTATCCTCTACCCTTACTGCTGAGGAAAAAGAAAGGGTGTGGACTGCAGCCCAGGCACATGCCGATGAAGCTCACCGCCTAGATATTAACTTTCCAGTGGGAGCAACAGCTGTGCCTAGGGAAGAGCCCAATTGGAATTATCAACATAATGCTCCTGGGCGGGAAAGCAGAAATAGGATGATAACTTGCTTAGTGGCTGGCCTTCAAAAGGCAGCCTATCTCCCTGTTAATTATGACAAATTAAACCACATTACTCAAAGGCCCAATGAAAACCCGGCAGAATTTCTTGAGCGCCTTACAGTAGCGCTCCAGCGCTATACAAGGCTGGACCCAGAGTCACCAGAGGCTAAGGTGGTTCTCAATACGCATTTTATTGCCCAATCAGCCCCTGATATTAGGAAAAAGTTAAAAAAGGCTGAGAACGGTCCTCAGACCCCTCAACGAGATCTGGTGAGTATGGCATTTAAAGTTTTCAATAATCGAGAGGAACAGGAGATTGCCGATAAGACTGCCCGTGAGAGGGAGAACTATCAAATCCTGGCTGCTGCCATCCGGCCTCCTCTGAGGAGAGGCACCCAACATACACCACCTGGAGCATGCTTCAAGTGTGGGCAAGAGGGCCACTGGGCGAAATTCTGTCCCTCACCACGACCTCCACCTGGACCCTGCCCAAGGTGTGGGCAGCAAGGACATTGGGGAGTCGATTGCCCCTCCTCACCTCCACAAGGTAGGCCAGCCCCTCCCCCACCCCGCCCACCCAGGCAGGCGGAGCCAGACAGGTCGGAGATTTTCTGCTTGGCTACAGAATGAAGGTGCCCAGGGCCACCTGCTCCCAACAACCAGACCATCACAATGACGGAGCCCAGGGTGTGTTTCTATGTAGCCGGTAAGTTAATATCTTTTCTCTTGGATACGGGAGCGACTTACTCGGTGCTATGTCAATATACAGGCAAGACTTTTCCCTCCCAGATCTCGGTGGTGGGTGTAGATGGCCTACCTACCTGTCCCCCAACTACAGGACCAGTATCATGTAAAATAGAAGACTTTCCCTTTTCACACTCCTTCCTAATCCTACCTCACTGTCCTACCCCACTCCTAGGAAGGGACTTGCTCTCTAAATTTCAAGTCTCCCTTTCATTCCATATCCCCAAACAGCCTACACCTGTTCTACTTTTATCTTTAGATGAACCTCCACCTGTAACTTCCCAACTAGATCCTTTCCCTTTACCTCCAGATCTTGTCAACCCTCTTATCTGGGATACTTCCACTCCTACTATGGCTAGACACCATACTCCTGTCCTGATTAAACTTAAAAACCCTACCCATTTTCCTGGTACTTCCCAATACCCCATTTCCCTTAGGCACAGGCAAGGTTTAAAACCCATCATCCTTCGCCTTATTAAACAAGGACTTCTCAGACCCACTAACTCCCCCTTTAACACCCCTATCCTGCCAGTAGTTAAACCTGATGGGACCTACCGCCTAGTCCAGGACCTGCGCACTATTAATGCTGCAGTCCTTCCCATTCATCCTGTTGTGCCTAACCCATATACCCTCCTTTCACAGATACCTCCTGGTACCACCCACTTCTCAGTGCTGGACCTCAAGGATGCATTCTTCACAATCCCCCTGCATCCCGACTGCCAAGATTTCTTTGCTTTTACTTGGGTGGACCCAGACACTTCAAGGGCACAACAGCTGACCTGGACGGTCCTCCCTCAAGGGTTCCGAGACAGTCCCCATTTCTTTGGACAGGCTTTAGCAAAGGATCTCCTCTCTCTTCAGGTGTCTCCTAGCATTGTTCTCCAGTATGTGGATGATCTTTTGCTTTGCAGCCCTTCCTTTGAGTCGGCTCGCCAACATACAGCTGACCTCCTCAACTTCCTGTTGACAAAAGGATATAGAGTCTCTCCTTCAAAGGCCCAGATAGCGAAGTCAGAGGTAACATACTTGGGTTTGTCCATAACTCCTACAGAGAGAAGAATTACTCTTGATAGAAAAGCCTACATTGAGTCTCTCTCTGTCCCACAGACCAAGGAGGACATTCTGTCTTTCCTGGGACTTGCAGGCTTCCTTCGTATTTGGATACCCGGTTTTGCCACATTGGCCAAACCTCTTTATGAGGCATCCAAAGGTTCCCTATTGGAGCCACCAGACCCCACAAAGCCCATTGACACCCCATTTAAAGTTCTGAAGCAAGCGCTTCTTCGGGCTCCAGCACTGGCTCTACCCAACCTCAAGGAACCCTTTATACTCTATGTCACTGAGAAGTGGGGAATTGGCCTTGGGGTTCTTGGACAAATGTCAGGCCCCTCCTTTAGACCTGTGGCCTACCTCTCAAAACAGCTAGACCCAACGGTAAAAGGCTGGCCAGCATGTCTTCGAGCTTTGGCAGCAGCAGCCACCTTAGCACAGGAGAGCACAAAACTCACTTTTGGCCAACCCACTACCATTCGCTCTCCCCACAGACTAAAGGACCTTTTGTCTCATAAATCCCTGTCTTCCCTTTCCCCTTCCCACCTACAGCTGCTTCATGTTACTTTTATTCAAAACCCTGACTTTTCACTGGAAAGCTGCTCCCCGCTCAATCCAGCTACCTTGCTTCCATCCAATTCTAACCCTCCTTCCCATTCCTGTACAGAGACCTTGGAGGAATTCACACCCCATTTTACAGGTATCTCGGAAAGTCCTCTTCCTGACCCAGAAGACACCTGGTACATCGATGGCAGTTCCATATCTACCTCTTCAGGAAGCCGAGTTGCAGGCTATGCCATCGTTAATAACTCTACCATTCTTGAAAGCAGCCCTCTGCCCCCTAGCACTACCTCACAAAAGGCAGAACTTATAGCTTTAACTAGGGCCTTAATTCTAGCAAAGGGTCGGAAGATTAATATTTATACAGACTCAAAATATGCCTATCATATTCTCCATTCTCATGCAGCAATCTGGAAGGAGCGTGGCTTCCTGACCACCAAAGGGACTCCCATTACTAATGCCTCACTTATTCTTAAACTATTAGAAGCTGCTTCCCTTCCCCAGCAGGTAGCGGTCATCCACTGCAGAGGACACCAGACAGGATTGGATGCCATTACAGTCGGCAATTCAAAAGCAGACCGGGAGGCAAAGCTAGCAGCCCAGAGACAACTCCAGGGACAACTTCCAGCTCCCTTGCTACTGGTATTGCCTTCAATTCAACCCTCTTATACCCCACAGGAGCTCGAGGAACTTACGCACCAGGGAGCCTCCCAGGAAGCACAGGGATGGTGGTCCCTGGAAGGACGAGTTGTTCTTCCCGAGGCACAAGCAGACAGCTTTCTTTCCCAGGTTCACCAGGCGCTGCACATTGGATACAAGCCTCTCTCCCACCTTCTTAAACCTTTAATCCATTGCCCTAGCCTAACTACTCGACTAAAGGCTATTACCCAAGCCTGCCCCACATGTTCTCTTACCTCCTCACAGGGTGGTCTCCGACCAGCTGCATTCCCCACACACCAAGCACGGGGACATACCCCAGGGGAAGACTGGCAGATAGACTTCACTCACATGCCCAGATGTAAGCGGCTGAAATACCTTCTAACTATGGTTGATACCTTTTCAGGATGGATTGAAGCCTATCCCACAACGTTGGAGACTGCTGACACTGTTGCCTCTGTCCTTATTAAAGAAATTATTCCTAGGTTTGGCTTACCCAGGTCACTTCAGTCTGACAATGGACCTGCTTTCATCTCCAAAGTGACCCAACAGGTGGCATCCTCTCTAAACATCCAGTGGAATCTTCACATTCCTTATAGACCTCAGTCTTCTGGAAAGGTTGAAAGAGCTAATGCGCTCCTCAAAACACAACTTACTAAACTTTCTCTAGAGCTCCAGAAATCCTGGCCAGAACTGTTACCCCTGGCGCTCACCCGCTTACGTGTTTCTCCCCGCAGCCCTACTTTCCTCAGCCCCTTTGAGTTAATGTATGGAAGACCTTTTCTCCTAGGTAATTTCCCTACTGACAATGCCAAGACTCCACTAATAGACTACCTTCCCGTCCTAACCTTTCTTAGGCACATGCTGCGCCAACATGCTGACCAGTGTCTCCCTCAGCCTCATCAAGGCCCCTTTCCCACTCCCCCAATTTTGCCTGGTGATCAAGTGTTTCTCAAGACCCTTAATCCATCTGGTTTACACCCTAAGTGGACAGGCCCTCACCAGGTTCTGCTGACAACCCCCACCGCAGTCAAGCTCAATGGACAGCCCCAGTGGATTCACCTGTCAAGAATAAAAAGGGCTCCTGTTCCTGCCCCTTCTATACCAACCCTGACCTCCAGGTACACCTGTTCCCCCCTCGGGCCTACCAAGGTAAGGCTGTCTCGCATCCCTGAAGATCCGGGTGAGTAAAACTGAGCTAACTGCTCTCCTCCCCAAAGACCTCACTATCTCATCCCTTAGGACACCTCCAAGCCATGGACATCCAATCTTTTCTTTCCAGTAATATATTTGCTTTTCATCTTTGTTCAGCCCCCTGCCTGAGAAGACTTCCTCCAGACTTCATCTAAGAGACTCGCTTCTTGCAGACATCATGGAACTGGCAGACCTGGAAGCAGTCACCTTCTACTAGGTCACCCCTCTTCCTCCCCCCCCCTTTCCTTTTTCAGCCATGCTTCTCCACCATGCTGGGTGGGGGCAACAGTTCAGTCAAATTAACTTCTTTTCCTGCCTGAATAGTGCATGGTGTTCTTTTCATCAGCTAATTTCCTAACCACCCCTTTTTGTGAACTGAACTGCCTTGACACTATGCGAGATTTTTCACCGATACCATTTCTGGCCTTCACATCCACGTCCACACCACTTCTCTACTCTGGTGAGTGAAACTACTCTACGGCTCTCTGTTGCTCAGTCTCTGTCCAGACGTGGCGCCACGCCAGAGAGCTCCTACGGCCTTTAGCTGAAAGGCTGGTCACCTCTGAAGCCGAGGACGCTTGGCTTTGGGGGCTTGGCCATTTCTCTCTAGAGGGCTCTGGGGGAAGTCGGGACGCCGCTTCTGCCTGGTAAGCTCTCCTTCACTCACCAGACTGACTCTACAACTTTTTGGCTTGTGCCCTGAAGAGTGCGACGCAGGCTGGGTCCCGGGGACCCCCCTCTAGGTTCCCTCTCAAAGGCTAGCCATTCTAGGTTTTAAAAAAAAAAAAAAAAAATTGTCAGAGTTCCTATTTGTTCAGGTTTCCGTCAATGCCTCATAAAACTTCTCCAGACTTCGTCCAAGAGACTTGCCTCCTCCAAACTTCATCGAAGGACTCAACACCCAAGTGACAGCTGCAGCCTGCTGCCTTCTCCCAGCATGGACCACATCCCAGCCTTTTACCCCTACGACGCCCTTTGCCAGCAGGAAGTAGCCAGAGAGAGTCTTCGCCCTTTTTCATAATTATCAAAAGGCTGGAATGTAAGGTCCATTCCTGGACGGCGAACAGACCTCACCCAGTACCTGCGTTACCTAGGCAACTGGGATACCTGGAAGAGGTCACATCCGCATCCGCTGAGGTCACATCTTAACCTGATGTGGCCACACCTTTCTCCCACCTGATCCCACTTCCCTTTACCTGGACACACCCTTCCCCACCCCCTACCCTATATAAGGCCTAAACCGCGGCCAGACCGCCCTTTTTTTTTTCCTTTTGCCAGCCGCGTGGAGTGCCAACCTTGCCTGGTCCCAGCAGGTCTACTGAATAAACCTACCCCTTACCTGAATACCACGTGCGTGGTGCAGTTCTTACTCGGCCACCTCTTTTAAAAACCTAACAAGGATCACGGTTGAAAGCCAGCCCAGGCAGGAAAGTCCATGAGACTCTTCAATGACCACCAAAAAACTGGAAGTGGCACTGTGGCTTAAGTGGTAGAGTGTTTGCCTTGAGCTGAAGAGCTGAGGGACAGCGCCCAGGCCCAGAGTTCAGGCCCCACGACTGACCAAAAACAAAAACAAAAAAAAACTTTCCCCCCAGAAACCCTGGGCCCAAAGGCTGCGGCGGTATGCACCTCACTGAGGCGTGCCCGGCAAGGGCACTGGGCTGCAGACCACCACCAGACAGCCTCAGAGCTGGCTCCCGGCAGCTCCAGCCAGTCCACATCCAGAACATTTCTGCATCCCATCTCAGCGGACCTTTCCGCTGAGTGCACTTATCAACGCTTTGGACTGTGCGATTGCAGTACAAATTATATTTGGGAAAAGGCAAGCCAAAAGCATGAACAATTTTAAATTACAGGCAAATGTGGTTTTAAAAGTCAGATCTGAGGGGCTGGGAAGGTGGCTCTGTGGTAGAGTGCTTGCCTTGCATGCATGAGGCCCTGGGTTCCATTCCTCAGCACCACATAAGCAGAAAAAGCTGGAAGTGGTGCTGTGGCTCAAGTGGTAGAGCGCTAGCCTTGAGCTGAAGAGCTGAGGCCCCAAGTTCAGGCCCCACCACCGGACCCAAAAAAAAGAAAAAAAAATTTGTGTGGTTGGGCACCAGTGGCCCATGCCTGTAATCCTAGCTACTCAAGAGGCTGAGATCTGGGCTGGGAAGGTGGCTCAGTGGTAGAGTGCTTGCCTTGTACGCATGAGGCCCTGGGTTCAATTCCTCAGCACCACATAAGCAGAAAAAGCTGGAAGTGGCGCTGTGGCCCAAGTGGTAGAGTGCTCACCTTGCGTTGAAGAGCTGAGAGACAGCACCCAGGCCCAGAGTTCAGGCCTCACGACTAGCCAAAAAAAAAAAAAAAGGCTGAGATCTGAGGATCACAGTTCAAAGCCAGCCCAGATAGGAAAGTCTGTGAGACTCTTTATCTTCAATAAACCACCAGAAAACCGGAAGTGGCTCTGAGGCTCAAGTGGTAGCGAGCTCACCTTGAGCTGAAGAGCAAAGGGACAGCGCCCAGGCCCAGAGTTCAAACCCCACGACCGACCCCCCCCCCCCCAAAAAAAGAAAGAAATTGAGTATCTTTAAGTCTATGAAAGGCATTATCAAAGTCTACTGAAAAACAATTCACTCATCTTCTGTTCATGAAAACTGAGTGTTCAAATTTCAAACACTACCAATACCAGAAATTCACCTTCCTGCACAAAGTCCCAACTCGGACCACCTTATTTTGATTTTGCCCAGCAGTGAGAATCATCTGTGATTTCAGCACTAGGAAGGGCAAGGCCAGGCCAGGAGGGCACAGCCGGCCAGGACTGCATTCCCAGGTCCACACTCCACTATTGCTGATGCATCCCATGGTTTCCCTCTTTGAGCATGCCAACCTGCTCCCGGGCAATATGCTCCTTGGAGGACCAGGCCAGAAAAAGCATGAGTCTAACTCCCAATCCAAGACCTCTGACCTCAGCTGAGCACCCTTGAGTCTCACTGCCCAATCCAAGACCTCTGACCTCAGCTGAGCACCCTTGAGTCTCACTGCCCAATCCAAGACCTCTGACCTCAGCTGAGCACATTTGAGTCTCACTGCCCAATCCAAGACCTCTGACCTCAGCTGAGCACCCTTGAGTCTCACTGCCCAATCCAAGACCTCTGACCTCAGCTGAGCACCCTTGAGTCTCACTGCCCAATCCAAGACCTCTGACCTCAGCTGAGCACCCTTGAGTCTACCAGCCCAATCCAAGACCTCTGACCTCAGCTGAGCACCCTTGAGTCTCACTGCCCAATCCAAGACCTCTGACCTCAGCTGAGCACCCTTGAGTCTACCAGCCCAATCCAAGACCTCTGACCTCAGCTGAGCACCCTTGAGTCTCACTGCCCAATCCAAGACCTCTCACCTCAGCTGAGCACCCTTGAGTCTCACTGCCCAATCCAAGACCTCTGACCTCAGCTGAGCACCCTTGAGTCTCACTGCCCAATCCAAGACCTCTCACCTCAGCTGAGCACCCTTGAGTCTCACTGCCCAATCCAAGACCTCTGACCTCAGCTGAGCACCCTTGAGTCTACCAGCCCAATCCAAGACCTCTGACCTCCGCTGAGCACCCTTGAGTCTCACTGCCCAATCCAAGACCTCTGACCTCAGCTGAGCACCCTTGAGTCTACCAGCCCAATCCAAGACCTCTGACCTCAGCTGAGCACCCTTGAGTCTCACTGCCCAATCCAAGACCTCTGACCTCCGCTGAGCACCCTTGAGTCTCACTGCCCAATCCAAGACCTCTGACCTCCGCTGAGCACCCTTGAGTCTCACTGCCCAATCCAAGACCTCTGACCTCCGCTGAGCACCCTTGAGTCTCACTGCGCACCCCAAGACCTCCGACCCCAGCGAGTCTGCCCGCAGTCCGGCGAAGGCTTCGCCTCTGGGGTTCGGCGGATCCGCTCGCTGCCGCGTGCTCGCGGCCGTCCCGAAGCTGGGCCCGGCACCCACGCCAGCCTTGCCCGGCGCGGCGTCGGTGCGGCGCGCTGCGTCTGAGGCGCGTTTTCCCGTCCCAGCCCCTCCGCGGGAGGGCGGGAGGGCCGGCCGGGCGGGCGGGCGGTGGCGGCCGGAGAGACCCCGCCCGCCCGCCCGGAGCCCCGCCGCGGCCGGACCGAGGGTCGCTGCTCGGGACGCCGAGCCGCGGAGGGCCGGGCGCGGCCCGCACAAGCGCCATTATTCCGTTTCCTGCCCGGGCCCCCGCCTCCGAGGCGGCCCCGAGGAAGGAGGCCGGGCCCGCCGGGGCCTGCGGAGAGCGGCGGCCGGAGCGGACGCGGCCCGGCGGGGGCGAGGGGCGGCGGGGCCTGCGGAGAGCGGCGGCCGGAGCGGACGCGGCCCGGCGGGGGCGGGGGGCGGCGGAGAGCGGCGGCCGGAGCGGACGCGGCCCGGCGGGGGCGGGGGCGGGCGCGGCGAGGCGCGGCGGGGCGGCGGGGCCTGCGGAGAGCGGCGGCCGGAGCGGACGCGGCCCGGCGGGGGCGGCGGGGCCTGCGGACGCCCGGCGGGGGCGGGCGCGGCGGGCGCGGCGGGGCCTCACCGTGGTCCTGGTTGAAGCCCGCGTACAGCAGCCCGTTGCCGTGCGGGTTGCAGGGCAGGAGGTTCATGGCGCCGCGCGGGGGCCGCTGCGCGGGTCCGCCGCTCCTCAGCGCCGCATGCCGCTCAGGCCGGGGTCCGTGCGGGCCGCGGCGTCCGCGCCGCGCCGGAAGCCAGGCGTGCCGCACGAGCGGACTGCGTGCGTGCGGACGTACGTGCGTGCGGACGTGCGCACGTGTGAGCGCCGCAGGGCAGCCAGCCGAGCGCCGGGCACCCCGGCGGGGAGGGCGGGGCGGGGCGGGGCGGGGCGGGGAGGGCGGGCCGGGCCGGGGAGGGGAGGGCGGGGCGGGGCGGGGCGGGGCGGGGAGGGCGGGCCGGGCCGGGGAGGGGAGGGCGGGGCGGGGCGGGGCGGGCCGGGGAGGGGAGGGCGGGCCGGGGAGGGGAGGGCGGGGCGGGGAGGGGAGGGCGGGGCGGGGAGGGCGGGCCGGGCCGGGGCGGGGAGGCCGGGCCGGGGCGGGGAGGCCGGGCCGGGCCGGGCCGGGGAGGGGAGGGCGGGCCGGGGAGGGGAGGGCGGGCCGGGGAGGGGAGGGCGGGCCGGGGCGGGAGGGGCCGCGCCCGGGCGGCGCGCGCACGCGGAGGGCGGAGGCCGCGCTCCCGGGCCGCAGCCGGTGCGGGTCTCGCGGGCCGCAGCCGGTGCGGGTCTCGCGGGCCGCAGCCGGTGCGGGTCTCGCGGGCCGCAGCCGGTGCGGGTCTCGCGGGCCTGCGCCGAGGTCGCCCCGGCCCCGGGCAGCTGGCTTCTGGGGGCGCCGCTGCGGGACCCCGTAGGGGGACGCCCCCCCGCGGTGAACGTCACCCGGCGCCGCCACCAGCCGCAGACCGCAGCGCCCGCCGGGACGAGGACGCGCCGCGGAGAGGCCCGCGCCCGCCCCGCGCCGGCCCCGCGCCGGCCGCCGCTCGTTCTCCCCGCGCCCGCCCCGCGCCGGCCGCCGCTCGTTCTCCCCGCGCCCGCCCCGCGCCGGCCGCCGTTCGTTCTCCCCGCGCCCGCCCCGAGCCCGGCCGCCGCTCGTTCTCCCCGCGCCCGCCCCGCGCCGGCCGCCGCTCGTTCTCCCCGCGCCCGCCCCGCGCCGGCCGCCGCTCGTTCTCCCCCGCGCCCGCCCCGCGCCCGCCCCGCGCCGGCCGCCGCTCGTTCTCCCCCGCGCCCGCCCCGCGCCCGCCCCGCGCCGGCCGCCGCTCGTTCTCCCCGCGCCCGCCCCGAGCCCGGCCGCCGCTCGTTCTCCCCGCGCCCGCCCCGCGCCGGCCCCGCGCCGGCCGCCGCTCGTTCTCCCCGCGCCCGCCCCGCGCCGGCCGCCGCTCGTTCTCCCCGCGCCCGCCCCGCGCCCGCCCCGCGCCGGCCGCCGCTCGTTCTCCCCGCGCCGGCCGCCGCTCGTTCTCCCCGCGCCCGCCCCGAGCCCGGCCGCCGCTCGTTCTCCCCGCGCCCGCCCCGCGCCGGCCGCCGCTCGTTCTCCCCGCGCCCGCCCCGAGCCCGGCCGCGCGCCCCGGGCGCAGGACGCCGCCCCTCTGCAGCGGACGGCTTGCGGGCTCCGGACGGATCCGCGGCTAAGCAGATCCGCGCCCCCGCCCCGCCTGCCGACAGCTGTCAAGTTCTGATTGCAGATGTTTTTCACATGAGTTTTCGTCCAAAGTTGAAATAATTACTCCTCTGATGTGAAACACACATAGAATTTAGGAATGGACAGCGTCGGGTGGTAGAGCACTCGCCTCCCATGCATGAGGCCCTGGGTTCGATTCCTCAGCACCACATAAGCAGAAAAAGCCGGAAGTGGCGCTGTGGCTCAAGTAGTAGAACACTGGCCTTGAGCTGAAGAGCTGAGGGACAGCGCCCAGGCCCAGGGTTCAAGCCACACGACCAACAAAAAACGAACAAAGCCAGGCGCCAGTGGCTCACGCCTGTCATCCTAGCTACTCAGGAGGCTGAGATCTGAGGATCGCGGTTCAAAGCCAGCCCAGGCAGGAAAGTCCGTGAGACTCTTATCTCCAATGAACCACCAGAAAACCGGAAGTGGCGCTGTGGCTCAAGCGGTAGAGCGCTCGCCTTGAGCTGAATTGCTGAGGGACAGCACCCAGGCCAGGATTTCAAACCCTATGACCGACAAAAAAAAAAAAAAAAAATTATTTTCTGTAAAAAGGTTCTTGCATTATTCCTATTATTCCTACCTACTCAAGATTCTGAGATCTGAGGATTGTGAGGCTGAGATCTGAGGATCATGGTTTGAAGACAGCTCTGGTAGGAAAGTTCATGAGACTCTTACCTTCAATTAACTACCAAAGGCTGGTAAAGGGGCTCAATGATAGAGCACTAGCCTTGAACTAAAGATCAGAGGGACAGTGCCCAGGCCCAGGGTTCAGGCCCCATGACGTGCGTCTGCACACACACAAACACATTATCCAAGGACCACACTGAAAACTCCTGGTGTGAGTCACCCTGTGTCTCTCCAGGCTCTTTTTCTGACGATGGTAGTTGTGCTTTACCAAGGCTAGCAGAGGTGTGCAAGCCTCGGGGGGGCTGAGGAATTCACATCCCTTCTCCATGCCCACCCCATGCCTCTGCCTGGACTGCGCAGCCCACTTCCTCACGCGCGCTGTCCCTCACAGAAGTGCCAGCTCCCTCTGTGCAGTGGCAGTCCTAGCTGGGCCTGGCAGTGCAGACGCTGCAGGGCCTCAAGTGGAGAGGACCCATTTCCAAACACTGCTGCCCCCTGGGTGGGGCAGAGCACTGCCTCGAGGAGCTGTCTTTACCTCCGAGGGCCTGAGGCCTGGGGCTTGGCCCTCAGGGCCATCCGAGCCACTGTAAGGACCTGGCTGCCAGCAGCTTAAGTGAGGGAGAGCCCAACTGAGTGTGCAGGGCTCCTCCATCTGTCCAGACTCTTCACTGCCTCAGTTGACCTGCACCTGCTGCTCAGTCGCCCCTGACGCTCACACGCTGGCCCTATTTCTGTCCACAGAATTGTGACCTCCCAATTCCCACGCAGCTATGTTCCTCTCTAAAGGGCTCTGCAGCCTGCCTGATTGCACAGCCTCACTCCGCTCTTCTCAGATGCCCTGTGAGGCACACACATGCCACTGGAACACCCTTGCTTGCACAGACCAGGCCCTATGCTTCACAGGCAGTGTCTCCCCTCAGAAAGTGGCTGAAGCCCCGGTTCTCCCAGGTAACCCCCCAAGGGCGGGACTTGCTCCCACACACAGAGAGCCTGTCCAGAGCACTTGACACTCCCAGCGTGAACCTGACTTACTGCCTGCAGTGATTTTTCACAGCCCTTTAAGAGTTGAGGTTTTATTTTTTGCCAGCCTCAATATTCTCCATCCTGTGAACCTTAAAGGCTGTCTTACTGGACCATGTTGTCTGCATTCCTGGGCCCACAGACTGTATGATTTTGGGGTTCTCAGAGCCGTTCCCAGACAGCTCTCTCGTCTTTCTGGGCCACCCCCTCCTTTCCCTGCCATTTGAGAGCAGGATTTTACCAGGAAATGGATGCTTCTGGGCATCAGGTTCAGAGTCGGTGGCCTGAAGTCCTCAGCACTAAGGTGGAACTTTTTCCAATCAATGATCCTGTCCAGGGTCTCCTTTGCATCCTATAGGTGCTATCTCCAAAGCAGACTTGTGGTAGGTGACCAGGCTGCCCTTAACAATGGTCTCCACCCCTTTGTGCCTGTCTTCCCCTAGACCAAGGCAGGGGTGCTGGCTTCTCAGCTCCTCGGGGAAAAAAGGCCCGGTGCTGGGTGCCCGCTACTGGGATGACAAACACCAGGACAGCAGAAATGTGAGTGTGTGTTCCTCTCAATGATCAAGATCACTGAAGCCAGGCGACAGTGGCTCACACCTGCAATCCTAACTACTCAGGAGGCTGAGATCTGAGCACCACGCTTGAACAGCAGGAAGCAAGCAGGACTGGGTGGATGTGATGGGGACATGGCGCCGTTGTTCAGAAGCCAGAACAGGAATGAATGGTCATTCTCTAGGATTGTTTTGCCCCACTATCCCTGGGGCTGGAGTAGCCACAAGGGCAGTGAGGAGTCAGCTGGGATTACAAAGGAAGAAGTGTAGACACCAGGTCATTTAAGGAGCACTTAACAGTGCTGGTTCATCCTCCATCAGGTAGAGGAAAGGGCGTGTGCTTCCTGGTAGGGACCGCAACCCATGATCAGGGCATCGAATCTTCATGGCCTCACTTAGCTCAAACCTGCTGTAGGCTGATCTCAGTCAAGGCCTCTGAGATTTTCAGCCAGAACACAGACAACTGGAGGGAACTCATGGAGCCTGACTACAGGATATTTACCCCAAATACCGGCCTGAGGAGCATTATGGTTATGTTTTGCACACCTGGAGTACTGAGAAATTTGGCTGGGGTAGACTGCTGATCCCACCATCTCCCAGAAGAGCAGCAGCTGCCTTCTCTTCCCCAGGAAGTTTCTGAAGTGGAGCTTGTTCCTTGTAAGAAGTCAAGCAACACAGGTAGAGTTTGTGCAAAAGGCTGCGACCTGGGAGAGGCTCAGAGCGAGCTGGAGCAGACAAGTCCAAGGCTCTTGATTAACTGGCACAGCTCATGTTTAGGAGTGGCTCAGGTGGTGGAGTTTCAGCCAGGAACCAGACATGCTAAGGCAGTGGCCCGAGTTCAAGCCTCACCACCGATACAGAACAAACCTGGGGGCTGACTGGGTTTCAGGGACGCGCACTCAGCCTTGCCTGCCTTTCTGAAGTTGGTACTCCATCATCTTCGGGTGGTTGTATGTAAAAATACCCTTCATCCTTCTCCCGTCCGGGTGTGTGCGCGTGTGTGCGCGCACGCGCGCTTGTGCACACTCAGGCCCAGGCGCTGTCCCCAGCTCTGCTCAAGCGAGCACTCTACCACTTGAACCACAGCTTTGGCGATGAGAGTCTCACGGACTTTCTTGCCCCGGCTGGCTTCGAACTGTGATCCCCAGGTCTCAGCCTGCAGAGCAGCTCGGGTGGGCCGCCGCGGGCGGGTGATCAATGGGGGAGAGGGAGGGGGGGGAGGGGGGAGGGGGGCGGGGAACGGGGGAGGGCCGAGGGCTGCGCTCCAGGCCTCCAGCTCGCGCCCCGCCCTTCTCCCCGCCCACCCGTCCCGAG